AATAAAAATAAAAACCTAACAGATAGCTGACATCGTCGATGATGTCAACGCACCTTTAGTATTGGCTATTGGATCTGCTGTTGCACGAGATGTTTCGTGCTCTTGCCCACCCGTGATACTTTCTCCTCTTGGAAAGCATATGCGCTGGCCCACAAAAAATTTGGCCTGGGCCAAAGCCGGGCTACATTTGACTAGTTGGAGGGCTAATAGGCCAAATGTGGCCCTCCAAATTTGGCCAAAAAAATTTTTAGCCCACGCTTTGCATTATTTTAGGGCTAAAACTCATTTCCAGCCGTGGGCTAAAAATAATTTTGGCCAAATTTGGCTCTTTAGCCCTCCAACTAGGCCAAATGTAGCCAGCTTTTGCCTAGGCCAAATTTTTTTTAGGCCCAGCGCATATGCTTCCCAAGAGGAGAAAGTATCATACGTGGGCAAGAGCACGAAACATCTCGTGCAACTGCAGATCCAACAGCCAAAGGCTCGTTGACATCATCAATGACGTCAGCTAATAGTTAGGTTTTTATTTTTATTTTTAATAACCTTTTTAAATGTTTTTAAATTCTTTTTGTTTTTAAATATATAATTGGTTTTTGATTGTTGGAGGTCAGAACCATTGATTAAAAAGTTATTATTTATTTATTTATTTAAAACCTTTTAAAATGTTTTAAATTCATTTTGTTTTAAAAATATATATAAATTAAAAAATATTGTCTCTAAATCGTAGTTTAATTAAATTAAACAATACATAGTTGTGAAATATATGAGTGTTATACCATAGTTTTTCTCAAACTAATAAAATATGAGAATGACCCTAAAATATAGCCATGTATGGCTGGAGATGGAAAAATTTAGCCATACACTATTCTTTAAAAAATTAATATTTTGGAGGGCTAAATTTTTAGCTCTTGACTACATTTAGCCCTATGACTGGAGATGGCCTTATAGCCCAGCTTCGGCCTAGGCTAAATTTTTGTTAGGCTCAATGCATATGCTTTCCAAGAAGAGAAAGTATTATGCATGAGTAAGAGCATGAAACATCTCGTGCAACTACATATCCAATAGACAGTATTAAAGGCGCGCTGACGTTATCAATGACGTCAGCTATCTGTTAGGTTATTTTTAAAAATAACATTTTTGTTTTTAAAAAATATATATAATTAGTTTTTGATCGTTGAAGGTCAAAACCATTGATTGAAACGTTACTTGTTTAAAAAAATAAAAATAAAACGTACATGTGTTATATAAGAAATATTGTTCTCAAAATAGTAGTTTAATTAAATTAAAAAAATATATAGTTGTGGAATGTATGAGCATTGTACCATAGTTTATCCCAAAATAATAAAATATGAAGGGCCCTAAAATATAGCTCTGCATAGCTGGAGATGGAAAAATTTAACTCTATACTATTCTTTAAAAAAATTAATATTTTGAAGGGCTAAATTTATAGCCCTGTACTACATTTAGTCTTATGACTGCAGATGGCCTTACTTCCGCCCTTGAGTACCACACAATAATTTTTCGAAGTAAATTGCCGTACACCCTTGGACTTAGGACCCTAATCGAACTTAACTCCTTAAACTAAAAGGGTAATTAGCCAATTTAATACCTAAATTAATTAAAATGTCCAATTTAGCCATTGTTGTTAAATTTTGTAAATTTCATCCAACTTTTCGTTAACTATAAGGGTAAATTTGTAATTTTGAGTAAAAATATCAAACAAAAAGAAATAAATAATAAATAATAAGAAAAATACAATAACATTTAAAAAATTCTGATTGATGGGAAGGAGAGAGAAAGGGGTGGGTGATGGGTTGGAGTTTTTCGTTTTTTAATTGTCAGATTTTTGTTATTATTATTGTGTTTTAAATATCTTAGTTTTTAATAATAATAAAAATTTCAAATAGTAAGTCACATGAGTGGCATGTGATTTTTTAAATAGAAAAGTGGATGAAATGTGATAAAATCTAATAGCAAGGTTGAAATAGGCTATTTGTTTTTCTCTAAGGACTAAATTGGTTGATTTTTTTTTATAAAAAAATTCAGGGAGTTAATTTCAATAAGTGTCATAATTCAGGGAGAAAAATCGCTGAAAATCATAATTTTTTGTCTCTAACGAAACTGATAACCAGATGGGAATGATAATTCCAACCCTGTTATTATTTTGACTCAAGCTGAAAAAAGATTTTATTTATTTACCGTGTTTTCAATTATATCATATAGTAATAACTTATTACTTGTGACATCGTGGAAAACACGATTAAGATTACTTTCGTTCTTAAAAGCAATGTGAAATGCAAAGAGAGAAGAATCTCCAAATCTTAACAATGAAGTCATGATTATCTTAACAATGAAGTTATGATTAAAGATAAGTACCAATAGTACATATAAGCACGTTTTTGTTAAATATTTTACGAATTAATTTATGGGTAATGCAATGGACATAACCACGATATTATCAAAGCAGGGGAAAATAATAATAAATAAGATTTCATTTTGTACTTCGTATCAAAATTGTTGAGGCATTGAGCCCCTTGAAGTGACTAAAGCATTTTCTTTTTTGAGTAACTTATGAACTAAAGTATTCTATAATTAGTGGTTGTGAATTGTTCTTGCATGAAAATATGAACAAGGTGGACATAATAGCGGAAAGCACACTTCACATAAAAATGGGACCTCCATGCCATGGGCGGCTCGCGGTTACAATAAGGAATTAATTAATTAATTATTATTTTTTATAATACAAATGATAGTGGGGTCGGGAGAGGAACGAGGAATTGAACCTAGGACATCTGATGTCAAATGCTCTTAATCACTTGAGCTATAAGCCCATTGCCTTTACTATTTTTTTTTAATTTTTTTATTTTAAAGCCCCTTGTCAACAAGGAATTAATTTGATAAAGGTTTAAGCTAATTTACACACAATTAGGACTAAATACAGAAACTCGGAATTCAAAAGACAGTTTATTTAACTTCTATGCAAATATTCTGCAGCCGGTTGTGCATTCACAGAAAAATCCTTTGCTATTGACTATTCAATCTATCACCATCAAACTATTATTCACATTCCATGAGATGAAACAAAGAAACAAAGAAGGCAAAATCTAACTACAGATGAAAGATACACTATCACATTCAAAATCTAAAGGATTGCGACCAATGGCGGATCCAGGAATTTTTATAGGGTTAGGCTAAATAATTTTTTTTTTAGAGGAGATATATTATAAGCTTTTTTTCTCATGAAACAAAAATGTAAATAAAATTTTATAAATCAAACGAAGTCACTTTACAAGCAAAGTCACAAAAATGCTAATTAATAATTCAAGTTGCAAAAATAAAACATATATCAACAATCTCCAAAAAAATTCATCCAAACCCTAAATCATAAAAACTTAACAACAACAATTAAAATTGGAAATTAAATATTAAAAAAAGAAAAAAAAGAAGAGAAAAACTTATCAAGATTGAAGAACCCACTAAAGATAGGTTGGTACAATTTTTTAGAGGCTCTACGCTCTCAAGGTTTAAATCTGGCGTTTTGGGTGGCTAGAAGAATTTTTTTGATGTTTGCTCTCTGTGGGTGTAGCCCAATATCAGTACGATTAGAATAGATCAAGTTGGTAGAGCCTTAGTGTGAGTTCTACTTCTAATCAAATTTATATAGGTTTGGATTGATGTTTATTATTTCCTACATGCTTAAGGAATGAGCTTATTTTAAATAAAGCTATTATTTACTTTACTTAAATTGGACTATTATTAATTTATTATATTTATTTGGTATAGTGGACTAATATTTATTGGAGTAGGAATAAACTTAACTATATTTAATATTTAAAAATCTTCCCCTAGGCTAGAGTGTATCTTCCCCTAGGCTAGAGCCCACTCTAGCCTAGTAATAGATCCGCCCTTGATTGCGACTATCTGAAATTGTTTTACATGAAAAAAAAAGGCATAGTAGCTAATGAAAAATCGAACTTAAGATTTTAGAGTCGTAGTCCATTAACCCTAGCAAAAAGATAGCTTAGGTGTTGAAAATTTGTCCTCATCCAGGTCAATTGTCAAAGCAATTTGTACAATTCAAACTCAGTGGCCATGACTTGTGGGCACTACACTGAGCATAAACATTCAAGACCTGACTATCCCCAAAGAAAATTCTGAACCTTAAATACTTCGGATCATAGACAAAGCAATGAAAAGTTGAGTCAAAAGGTAGATAGACTACATGAAACTTCAAAAGCAAAAAGGAACTGGTTGCAACTGTTTCAACTATAACCAGAAATGGACAAATTCCAAGCTACTTGATGAACTTGAGTCCTCTTTCAATATTAGAAGGCAAAAGTAAAGATAAATTAATAGCTAGTTGGTAGATTCACCACTGTCTAAAAGATTTCCATAAAGACATTGTACTCAAGGCACATTAAACAGTACAATAACAATTATCAAGCACTAACTAAACACTACATACATTTAGGTGTTGCAAACTCCTCTAGAGAGTGCAATTAGGGGCAAATTAATATAGTTCAATCCCATAAGACAAGGCATGCACAAGTGTGTAACAAGAGATGAGAACACAAATATGACTTTTGTACAAACAATTTTGGCAAATGCCTTTTATATACATTTTCTTGCAGCTACGTAGCTCTGAATCCGAATAGAAGATGATATACACTGAAGTAATGAGCTTTTCATTAATTAAGGCATAGCCTGATTACATATTTATACTACTCAATCAAACCATAGTTGTGTAACTAAATTATACACTCAGAGCTAATTAATCACAGCCTGGCTGTGTAACTAATTTAAATAGACTGCCAGAAATGTTGACTAGGATGAGCAGATGGCTTAGCAAGCTGAGACTGAAATTATACATGCTGAAGTAGCATATGATACTAGAATGGACAAAATGAGCTAATCTCAGATGTACATAACTCCATTCGTCTCACTTCTCGTCAACAAGGACATGATTCAGACATTGGAGATAAGAGGTGGAGGTGAGAGGGGGCTTAACTTCCACAAGCCATGCACTCCTCTCGATTCTGCAGAAAACAAACTTCTGGCATATCAGCATTAACATCACCATCCACCTTGTTATTATTATCCTGCTCCATGAAATAAAACAAGAAATGTTTTGTTAGTTGTAATTATACAAGAGTGAAAGAAGGAACTACTAGAAATTACTACGAAGAAGAAAAATAGCTCAAATTTATTTCCATAAAATCTCAAGGTACCAGTGTATAAGTGTCATGTGAATGGTATGGTACTACTACAACCAATGGAAACATCACTGCTAATCATGGATTTGTAGAAAATGAACTATGACGGCATCAGTTCAACTTTCTCAACCAATGAATACAGGTTGTGCCATATGATTTATATGATTTAATATTTATAACTACTTAAATAAATAAAACCTGAATACATTACGTTATTAAGCGCAGAGATATCAACAGTGAATTTGATAGCATCCGCTGCAGCTCGTGTTCTTAGATAATACATTCCCGTTTTCAAACCCTTGCACATGGGAAATTGAAATCAGATGGAGTTTTAGATCATTTTTAGTGATGAAATATATATTAATTAACTAGTTGAATAATTCATAAATGTCACCTTGATTGATAAATGTTCTTACCTTAGACCACGCATAGAAGTGCAGGGACGTAAGCTTTCCAAGGTCAGGTTGATCCATGTGAATATTCAGACTCTGACTCTGATCAATGTAGCACCCACGATCAGCAGCCATGTCAACCAAGGTCTTCTGCTTGATTTCCCAGACAGACCTAATTGCATGTAACGACTTTAGCATCAAGCTCGATATGAAAAGACTAGTTAAAGTTGAAAATGGGGAAGGTAAAGAAGAAATCAGTACTTGTAAATAGCTTTCAACTCCTCAGGAACCTCAGGGATGTTTGAGATCGAGCCATTCTCATAAATTATTTTGCTCTTAACAGCATGAGACCAAAGACCCATTTCCGTTAAATCATGAAGTAGATGTTTGTTCACTACAACAAATTCGCCACTAAACACAAGAAAAGTTAGACGTGTAGAGTGCTGAAACCACTCCTTCAGAGTTACTAAGGTATGAAGGTTCAAACCTTAAAACTCTGCGACTATATATGTTGGATGTATAAGGCTCAAAGCACTCATTGTTACCAAGAATCTGGCTGGTTGAAGCGGTTGGCATAGGTGCTACAAGAAGGGAATTCCTCAGTCCATTTTTTGAGATCATTTGCCTAAGAGCACCCCAGTCCCATCGATCTGATGGTGTTACATCCCACATGTCAACTTGCAAAATTCCCTAAGGAAAAAAGGGAAAAATAGTATTTATATTTTCTAACTAGAAATTGGAATCCAGCCACAACAACACCGCAATTAATTTACAAATGAAGATGCATTTCTTAACTGAGCATATAGAGAGAAGAAAGAAAACAAAAGGTAGAAATGAGGCACATTGGAGTACCAAAAAGTGGAGTTCACCAAGAAATGTATGTATGCTGCACTAATTTGTTTTCCTTTTTAAGCCCTTCAGGCATTAATGTTAGGAGTTGAACAAAACATTTATATTAATACTTCTACTGTTATTTCCCACAGTTGCTTTTGCCGGTAACCAAATAAAGTTTAATAGGAACATATGTTTTGCACTATTGCAGCTTTAAAATAGAATGTGAACAACTGGTCTAGTGCAATAACTTAATTTCTAACAAAAAGTTTAAGCATAGGTGAAGATAAAATGTTTTTGTGACCAGTTTAATCATTTCCTTTTGTCCAGTACTAATACAATAGACATGTTATAAGTTCTCTTATAGTAGCACAATCTAAAGAAGTAATTTGTCAATTACAACAGCCAAGGGCACCCCTTTGACAACCCTACATCAAATTTATAATTCCCAGACCACATGCAATTGCCATGTATCATACTAGAAACATACAAATTTATTTAAAATATGCAGGCAAAGCAAAGTAGCTCATATGCAACAATCTCACAACAAACGGTGACTGATCTGATAGAAAAAGTTATAAATACCCTGCTCACAGGACTGCCATGATATGTCTCATAGGGACCATCTAATGCGGCCAAATCAGTAGAAGCTCTCAATGCATGATAGTAAATAGTTTCAAAAATGTCTTTGTTTAGCTGTTGGGCCTGCAATTAACAAACCAAAACACTCAACCTAACTAAACCAAAGAAACTCCAATACAAACCTACAAAGTAAGATGATACCTCTGGCGAATCAAATGGCATGCCAAGAAGAATGAAAGTATCTGCAAGACCCTGAACTCCAATACCAATAGGTCTGTGCTGTAAATTTGACCTCTTTGCAGTTTCAATGGGGTAGTAATTGACATCAATTATTTTGTTGAGATTTGCAGTAACTATTTTAGTAACCTAAAAGGCAAAAATGGGCAATGATCAATCAAATTATAGCTCTCCAGTCCTTGTACATGGAAAGCAATTAAGGGAAGAAAAAGGCCAGTACGTCTACTTATTAGTATTGTGTTTGTCTGCAAAAGGACGAACAATAGTCACACTAACAAACCTCGGCTAGTTTGTCAAAATCAAAGTACCGGTTCTTTGAATCTCTAGATCCAATCATCTTACAAGAGTTTGTGTCAATAGACACCTGCTGGAGAAACATGTATAAAAATGTTCAGCTAACCTATATTAATGAAAAAGAAAAAACTAAAATGAGATTCCAAAGACACCTTTTCCTTGACATATCGGGGTAATGCAATGGATGCCAAATTACAAACTGCAGTTTCTGTTGGACTTGTGAACTCAATAATTTCAGTGCAAAGATTTGAAGACTTGATGGTACCCAGATTCTGCTGGTTACTTTTCCTATTACAAGAATCCTGGATGGAAGAAAAAAAAGGAAACTATAAAGAAAGCACTGGAAAAGCTGTGAAGCTATGGCATGTCAGTTCTCTTAGAATACCTTGAAAAGCATAAATGGAGTTCCTGTTTCAATCTGCGAATTTAACATCTCAAACCACAGTTTCCTAGCAGGGATAACCTTCTTTGCCTTACCCTAGTCCATGAAAAACATAATTTTCATATCACAATCAATCCAGAAAAATATTATATCATTTCAGTGCTGTCACAACAGCAGAAGATCAAGTTTACCTCGTCCTCATATTGGGTGTACAACTTCTCAAAATTTTCTCCCCAAAGATCAGCTAAGCCAGGAGCCTCATTTGGACAAAACAAAGACCATTGCCCATCATTTTGGACTCTTTCCATGAAGAGATCAGGAATCCAGAGAGCATAAAATAGATCTCGAGCCCGATGTTCTTCCTGTTAAAAAAAAAATTTGATGAAAAATTATCCTACACAACAGGTTTGAAGAAAAATCGAGGACAAAAATCATTGGGGTACAACAGTGTATCTGGAAACCCATTAAGTACCACATTTGGAGTAAAAGTCGCAGCATATAGATTTGCAAATTATTAAGCTAATCCTATTTCTGCTTCACCTTGCCATGGTTCTTTTTAAGATCTAGAAGATCAAATATATCAGCATGCCATGGCTCCAAATATATGGAAAAAGCACCTAAAAGGAAACAAAATTGATGATGTCAAACATGGAAGAAAAATAAAATAAATATTACAAACATTAGAACACATATAATGGAGCTCTAGATCTACTTTCTTTGAAATAACAATGTACATAAACACGGAGATGCTAGAACTTATGAAAGTACCCTTTCTTCTGCCTCCCCCTTGATCAACATAACGAGCAGTGCTATTAAACACTCGAAGCATAGGCACAATACCATTTGAAGTACCATTTGTCCCACGAATATAGCTACCTGTTGCACGAATATTATGAATGGAGATACCAAGCCCTCCAGCTGATTTGCTAATAATGGCACATTCCTTCAATGTATCAAAAATTCCTTGAATACTGTCGTCTTTCATGCACATAAGGAAGCAGCTACTCAACTGCAATTAACATTTAAAGTGAAAAATATATATACATATAAACATGGTAAATATAAAAGTCCAAGCAGTAGAACTTCCAAATTGCAGAAATTATCTAATCATACATACTTGGGGCTGTGGAGTTCCTCCATTGAAAAGGGTCGGAGTAGCATGAATGAACCAACGCTGGGACATCAAATGGTAGGTTTGGAGAGCAGACTCGATGTCATCCTTGTGTATACCAACAGAAACCCTCATCAACATGTGCTGCGGCCTTTCCACAATCTTCTCATTTACCTTTAAAAGGTAGGACCTCTCTAGAGTTTTAAAACCAAAGTAGTCATAATCAAAGTCTCTTTCATAAATGATCTCACTGTCCAGGCGTGAAGCATTCTGAAACAAATGAAGAGAAAAATAAGCCAGTGGAATCCTCATCCTTTTTTTTCTTTCCCCTCTCTGTCAAATGTCAAGAGTATGACTCATCACTCTTTATGAACTTAACTACATTAACCATAAATTTATTCAACTTTTCTTTACAATTATAAGCACATAATCAGTAGCTAACTAAGCTGCATATGCTCATAATTACCGGTGTCAAAAATATATAAGCATTGTTAGAAGTTAGAATAGAAAATGTTCCATCAGATTAATTGAATAAAATTATATGAGTACCTTCATAATTATTTCATAAACATCATCAGCAACCAGAGGAGCCTTCTTCCCAGACCTTTTATCAAAGAAGTTGTACATGACTCGAATCCTGAATCACTCATTGATAAAAATTACTTCCTTTAGCATGCAAATCCAATCTTCAAGCCCCAAGAATGCCTCAAAAACCAAAGTAAACAAAACAAAACCAGTTGGGCTAAATTAAACACTCACGTTTCCGAAAATGACTCCTTTGTACTCTTATGCAGATTCGAAATAGAGATCCTAGCTGCCAACTACACAAAATTTTTACATCAACCACATAAAACAGCAAAAGGAAGGCAAACTCATTATTGACCAAAATTTCAAACTCAATATAACACACATAAACAACAACATTAACAGCAACAACAAGAGCAGCAGCATTGTTAAAGCTTAAAACTATGCACAATAACTCGAAATTCAACAAACCCATATGGTAAAACTAAGCAAGAGGACCAACCAAAGCATAATCAGGGTGGTTTGTAGCCATAGCCGCCGCAGTCTCAGCAGCCAACTCATCAAGTTGTGTGGTGGTGACTCCATTGTAGACCCCAGCACAGACCTTGTGTGCCACGAGCACCGGGTCACAGTGCGCGGCATTGAGCCCATAACTAAACCTCTGTAGACGGGCAGCAATCTTGTCTAATTGCAACGGTTCTTGGCGCCCATCCCTCTTAACCACGTACATTTCTGTAAGCCTCAAAAGAAAGTTTGAGATGATGGGTTTCCAGAGTGTGAAATGAATGTGAATTGGGACTTTCGTCGAACGAGTTGCAGGGACAATTGGTGTGTGACCACATGAGTGAGTGTTGGGGTGTTTTATACACACTACACAGAGACGTGGGTGTGCGATCGAAGAAGAGTATACGAGAAGGAAGAGTGCAAGAGAAGGAAGAGTGCAAGAGAAGGAAGAGTTCAAGACTCGAGAACCAAGACTGAGTTTGAACCGGTGGTTATTTTTCTTGTGTTTCTTCCTTTTGTTCTGTTTTTTTCCCCAAATTGGCGGTGTTTTTATAGGGCTTCACAATCATGCTCCTTCTTTTTTAATTAAAACTAGCCCTTGGAGCATGTGCTAATTGGTTTTCCTTTTAATTTTTAATTTTATTTTAGAATTAAGAAAAGATAACATGAATAATTATGTTCCATTAAAATAGAATTTATTATCTGATTTTGTTTTTTATTTTAATTTTTTTAATATGAAAAAAGTGAATTTACCATATTATCCTAATTTAATTAATAATTTCAATTCTTAAAGTTTGAATTAACCAATGACATTTTCTAGTATTTTGAATGTTTCATCATTCTCTGCCTTTTGCTTTTTATATATATAGATTTAACTAAAAATACTTAGAAAGTTATTTTAGGATCTTCTAATAAAATTTCAATTCCAACCATATTCTCTAATTTAGGGGATCATAAATGATTTATTTCTTTTTAAATTTAGCATAAATGCTTCATTTTCATATAAAATAATAATAAAAAATAGTTAGCATTAAATAAATACTTAAAATAGCATTAAAGTAAAGTAGTATTTAATTATAGAGAGCTACTAAGAGCCCTTTCTATCTCATCAGATTTAGGACCTCCTAGAAGTATCCCTATTTTAGGACTTGGATAGAGAGCATGGTTGGAGGTGGATTTTCTCACTTCCTCTCTAAACTTTATCTAAGGAGGTGGTTTAGGGAGTTCATTGTGGATGTTCTAAATCCATATTTTACATAGATGAAGTGGATGTTAACATAATACCTAATACCTAATAAATGACCTAACCCACAATCTATTTGTAATAGAGGTGGGCATCAAAATGGGAATACCGAAACCATCCTGAAACCGTGCCAATTTCATGCCATCCCGTTTGGTGTTGACGTGTAAACGGGATGATATCGGGTCATCTCGTTACTGTTTGGCACGACATTGGTTCCACATTTTTGATCCCGGTTGGTGTCATACCGTACCGAACAGTACATTATTTTTATTAATCCTAATATAATTTTAGTTGCAACCTTACTCTCACAGATATTTCGTCGACTCTTTCTCTTTGTTTCTTTGTGTGCGTTCTTTCCTTTCCTCTGTCCAATTCTTCTCTTCTCTCCTCTTCTCCTTTCTCAATCACGATTTGAAGCCATAATTCCCAAATCCTCCACCATCAATCGATCTCATCTTCTTCTTCTCCTCATCTCTCTCTCTCTCTCTCTCTCTCTCTCTCTCTCTCTCTCTCTCTCTATGTACTTCTCCAAACCAGTGGAAAAGGAAAGCCCCAACCCAAATTCTCTCTGAATTTCTGTGTAGAAAAATTAGGGGGCTGTTGAAGATCATATTGTTGGTTTGGTTGTAGACTTCTTCAAACCCGTTTTCCTCTGCTACCAATTTCAATCTGATCTCAAATTCTCAAGTATTCATTTGGTTTGCAATTATTTTTTTTCAAATTTGAGAAATTGTTTTGATTTTGGTCCCCAACATCATTGATTTGATGGTATTGTTCTTGAGCATTTATACTAGTGATTTGGGTGTTATATAGTTGTTTGCTTCAAAGGAACTTAAGGATTCCATAGGAGTAGGAAGTGTGGATCGTGAAAAGGTACAACACATCCGTAAGATCTACCATTTTAAAAAATCGTCACTGGGGTTGTGTTGTGAAGGCTTGTCCTAGTTGTTTTGGAAGGAGATATGTAAGATTTTAATTTCTTTTTTTGGTCTCCTTGTTTTTCCTTTTTCGTTTTTTATATATGCATTGAGTTCCCTAATTTTGCATCATATAAACTATTCTATACGAACTGTTGTCATCCACAAGTTTGTTAAGGCCATGTATTTTTGTCCATGGACTAAATACTAAGTTTACAATAGTTAGTTTCGATAGCACAAGATTTTTGTATTGAAATTCTGTCTGATTATCTAAATACTAAGTATGCAATAATTGACCACCATTGAAATTCTGTCTGATTTTTGAATTAAAAAACCCTTGCTTTCTTGTGTGAGGCTGCAAATCTTAATTATTTTTCATCACTATCTCAAGTTTTATTTGAAGCCATTTTATCATTAGTGAGTTTTGCTTTGAGACTATGGAATCTTATGTAACTTGATTTGTGAGTGTGTTTGCTATTTGATTATGTAATGCCTTAAGACGCACTAATCAGGATCTAATGCTCAATTTGATTTTGAGAGTTTCCTATACTTGTACATTGCTAATCATCTTCTGCTGCTCTAGATAACTTATATGTTTGTCTTATAGTTGGACACCTTACAACCTGCAACATGCTACAAAAATTGTCTTTACAGGTTCTAGAAAATTGTTTGTGTTTGCATGAATCTGAAACTGCTATTTGATGCAGCTTGTAGGTATATTTTTCTTGAATCTGCAGCTTCAACCTAGTCCAAAGCCCCAATTGGGAATTTGGAATGGTAAGAGGCCCCGAAACTTGTTGTTATTATTATTATTATTACTTTTGCTAAGCTTATAGCTAGGAATCTATTAATAATATCCATATGATACTTCTGTTCTGTTCATGCAATCTGGATATATTGCTTCTTCAATAGGAACCTCACCATCACTTGAGATGGCTCCACCACCAACACAATCTGCACCATATCCAACCCAATATGTAGAAGGAGTAGTAGTGCTAGTGCCACCTCAAATTGAAGAAGATGATGATTACTTAGTAAGTGAAATCAACTCAGAAACTAGACATAGAGGTGTGAAACGTAGTTGGGTTTGTGATTATTTTATTACATATGAGGACAATAAAAAGGAAGAAAAAAAAAGACGCAACAGGAAAGATTATAGAAGTTGAAGTGGTTCATAAGAGAGCAAAATATGTCTATTGTCCTAAAGGTCATTTAGGAGATTATGTTATGGATAGTGGGAAAAATGGGACAAGTAGAATGCTTAACCATATTAGAAACTATTGCAGATATTACCATGCAAATGTTGACAAAAAACCAGAAGATAATTAGTAGTGATAAGAGTCAAGGTAACAAGCTTGTAGCCAGGGGGTTTGTGCAGACTGATGTTTTGGAAGCTTGTGCTGAGATGATTATTAAAGATAAGCTTCCATTCAATTTTGTAGAGAAGAAAGGCTTTAGGAAATTTTGCAGTGTTACTTGCCCTTTGTTCAATGTTCCTAGCAGGAGAACAATTTTAAGATAATTTCTGAAAATGTATGATGAGCATAAGTTGAAGTTGAAGAAAGATTTGAGAGAAACTAAGGTTTGCCTCACTACTGATACTTGGACAAGTGTCCAAAACTATAATTATATGATGTCAACTGCCCATTTCATTGATTGTGAGTGGAAAATGCACAAGAGGGTTTTAAACTTTTGTGTGATTTCAAATCACCAAGGGCCAACAATAGGGAAGCTCATTGAAAATTGTTTACTTGAGTGGGGGATAGAAAAGGTTTTGGCTATAACTGTGGATAATGTATCTGCTAATAAAGTTACTATAAATTGGGTTAGGTCAAAGTTGAATAGAAGGGCGAAAGCAGAACCTATTTTGCAAGGGAAGTATCTACATGTGAGATATCTTGCTCACATCACAAACCTAATTGTAGTTAGTGGTTTGAAGAGGCTTTCTAAGTCTATTTTGGCCATTAGAAATGCAGTTAGGTATGTTAGGTCTTTTCCTTAAAGGTTGGAGTTTTTTAAAACCTGTGTGGAAGTAGAGGGACTGTCCATCAAAGGTATGGTTTGCATGGATGTCCCCATAAGGTGGAATTCGACATTTATAATGTTGGATGCAGCCTTCAAATATAAAAAGGCTTTCGTAAGAATGGGGGAGGATAAGGACAACCTTTTCTTGGCTTACTTCAAGGAACCGGAACATGAAGTTGATGATGATGGTGTGGTTATTAGCAATACTAAGCATATTAAGGTTGGACTGCCAAGTGAAGATGATTGGGAGAATGCTACTGTTTTTGTAAAGTTCTTGAGGGTTTTTTATGAGGTCACACTGAAGGTGAGTGCATCTTTGGACCCCACTGTCAACAAAGCTTTTCAATCTATTTTAGCAATAGAAAAGAAATTGATAAATTGTTTGTGTCACCTGAGATGGCCACTAGTTCAGAAGCAGAAAAAGTGTTGGTTGATATGGCAAGCAAAATGAGAGAAAAATACAACAAATACTTTGTCAAATTTGAAGATATGAATGTGTTGTTGGTTATTGCTATTGTTTTGGACCCTAGATTCAAGCTTAGGCATATGACACATCTGTTTAAGAAGGAGAAGTTTGATGATGCAGAAGTGGAAAAAAAAACCACAAAGATAAAAGTGGTGTTGATGTCTATGTATGAAGAGTATGCACCTAGATTGGATTGTGGAATTCACATAAGAAGTGGAAATGTGAATTCTACTCCACAGACAGTGAATGCAAATTCACAAGATGTTGATGATATAATGGATGATTGGATAAAGGTGGTGGAAGAGAGTGAATAGGTTATGGTTGCACATGAAGTGGATACCTACTTGCATGATCCTTTGGAATTAACAATCAAAGAGGCCTTTTTTGACATTTTGTTGTGGTGGAAGCTAAATGGTCCTAAGTACCCTGTGTTGGCAACTAATGCAAAGGATATTCTTGCCATTTAAGTATCAACAGTTGCATATGAGAGTTGTTTTAGCACCGGGGGAAAAGTAATTGATGCATTTAGGAGTTCATTTAACTCCTAGATCAGTTGAGGCATTGATATGTATGCAAAATTGGTTGAAGGGAGATGACATTTCCACAAATTTAGAAGATGAACCTACTCCTAAAGAATATGAGTTTTATGAGAGTGTTGGATTAGGTATGTTTACTATGTTTATTAATTATTACTTTATAATGTTGCATTTGTTTTTAATTTGATTAGGCTTTTTAATTTGATCTTAAATGTTTAAGCTTTTAATTGTTTATTATTTTATAATGTTGCATTTGTTTATAAGAACATGTGTGAATTTATTTTTTGCAGAATATGCAAGTACTAAAGCTCCTGTCACCAATACAACACATTAGAGATTGATCCAAAGGGAAAGGGACATGCCATTTAAGATTTCTATTTCTTGCTTTGAAGTTTGTACTTAATTTGGCTTCATTTTTTTTCTAAAAGCCTATGTGAGATTTCCATTTCTTGCTTTGTAATTTGGCATGTCTTGAACTTGAACTCTTGATTGATTGTTTGTTTTGTTTGTATTAGGCTTGATTTATTGTAAAAGCCTATATGAGATTTGATTTCCATTTCACTTGAACTTTGTATGAGATTTCCATTTCTTGTTTGGTCTTGAATCAAGACTCTTGAATCTTGATTGTGGGTTTTATTGTATTACTCTTGATTTATGAAATTTTGCAGATTTTTTACGGTATGAACATTGATATCAAATCATACCGATCCCATTTGGGTCCGGTATGGTTTAAACTTGTTTTCAAAAACTCTTATCTCGTGTCATCTCATACCGTGCCCAGCCCTAATTGTAATATAATGGTGAATAATGTATTTTGTATGTCTATAAGTACTAGGCATCAAAGATGAATCAAAATACCAAGCCTTGATAAAAGTTTGTGAACAACATTTATATGGCTTTCTCTACCACTAAATTCTCCTTAGTTACATAACACGTTATCAACACGTATTTCTAACCAACTAAGGTTTTTATGATTTTCAATCTTGGTATTCCTCCTCCTTATTCTTATTGTATTTCAATTCATTTGTTTCATTAACATCAATATATGCTATCTTATGAAGTTTATGGCTAATGTTTTCTTTGCATAAGGTTCCTCAAAAGTTGAGGACAAGAATGCATATGGTTGTTATAAAAGAAATTTTAGTTTATGGCATTTGCTAACCAATTGTGCAAGAATCTCAATATATATATATATATATATATGTACCTGTATACTAATATTAATATAGAAATTTAATTAGGTTTGGTATAATATATTATAATATAATATGATATATAATTTAGTTGATGAATCCCTTAAATAAGCTTATTTTGAAGGAAACCCTTGTAGGGTCCACTCTGTATTGCATTTCACTAATGCAAATTGTCTATTTTGTAGATATTAATTCAAAGATCATCTTTACAAAAAATCACTTGAATCCGATATCATTTGACCACTTAATTGAATTATTGAAATTTTAGTTCTTGAAGCACCGTATTCATTGATTTTGTAGGAAACAATTAGATGTCGAAATAGTTTCTGATTTGTCTAATTTTTTGCAAGGATGATCTATGAATTTAGACTTAAAAAATAGATGGTTTGGATCGTTGAAATTTTTTTTGTAAGGAACCCGAAAGAGTGTCCCTCAAATAAAATTATTTGAGGGATCCAATCACACATTTCAAGGAGTTTATATTCTTATTTTTTTAATACAAATAATGTGCATATGCGGGGAACAAATATATGCCACATGATCTATCTAAGAATAAATTAGGGGAGGCATTTTAGACCGAAAAACCAAAAAACCGCAAAAACTAACCGACAATTTACCGCAATGACGGGAAACCGAACCGCATTTGCGGTATGAAGAACTGAATCTCATTTGCAGTTGCAGTTACTGTATTTGATTTTCAAAACTTGCGGTTACCGCAAACTGCGACTATATATATATATATATTTTTAAAATTACATTTTGTAGATAGCATTGGTGCTTAAACAACACAACGGAGTCCTTCAAATCCACTCTCCACCACCAACACTTGAGTTTGTAACTTTAGTTTGTAACATTGGTGCATTGCATTTTCCTTTTAGTTTGTAACTTTAATTAACTTTGAGTTGGATTTTTCCTTTGGGTTGTAACTTTAATTCATTTTGCATTGCATTTTCCTTTTGGTTTGTAACTTTAAAGGATTTGGAATTGGAATGTTTGAGAAGTTGAGGTTGTGAATACTTGAAAAGTTTAACTTTAATTGGAATGCTTGGAATTGTAACTTTAATTTTCTTTAGGTTGTGAATGCTTAAGAAGTTGGGGAGGTTGTGAATTTATATATGCTTGAGAAGTTAAGGTTGTGAATTTATTTATTTAGGTTGTGAATTTATATTTTTTGGTTAAAGTATGCTTGAACTCAAAATGCTTCAAAAGAAGCATCAAAATTTGGCCTAAAATGTGGAAGATTGGATTTTTATGACACATAAAGAACTTGCGGTTTTAAACCGCTAATTCACGGTAACCGACCGCTTTTTGCTGTTTCAAAAATCACCATACTGCAAATAGTCGGTCGGTTTGGGGTTTGAGCAAAAATTCGCGGTTACCGAACTGCAACCACTCTTAGAATAAATCAGGTATACAACTCCAAAATAGTATTACATCAATTAAAGAGGAGTATTCCATGTTTAAAACTAAATTAAACTCAAGTAATATTCAAGCCCTTAAGATAAAATTATCAGACTTTATTTTTTCAGTGCAACTAGATTAAAAGAACTCAAGAGAGAGACATCACAACAAACAATAGTTTGATGACAACTAAATGAGACAATTATAACTAGGGTTATTAATGCCAGTGAGTCCTGAAACTACAGTTAAATCTCACTTTGCCCCCCGAAACTTAAAGTGGCCCACTTACCCCGGTTAACTGCGGTTTGGTGACTCACTTTGCCCCTATTGTCAATTTTGTCCAAAAGTTCGTTAACTATGATGACGTGGCAAGAGTGTTTGTGTAATTTTGTACTCATGATTCATTATTCACCAATTGAGGGGTGACGTGTCAAGTGGAGCCCACCTCCGTATAAATTTAAAATAATTAAATATTCTAATGATTAAAACTAATTAAAAAATTAAAATAATACATTAAAAAATTTAGAACTAAAAAAAAAATCTCTCCCTCCCTCTTTCTCTCTCTCTTTACCCAACCCCCTCCTGGCAGCCATAACCTCCCTTCCTCAAACCATCCCTATCCCACCCCCTCCTTGCCTCCTATACCATGGTTGTGCTCTTAACCATATCACCACCACCATTGGATCTAATCCTTGAGGATGGGGTGGGTGGGTGAGAGTTAGGGTTTTGTGATTTCACTGTTGATTTTGAAAAATGAATTTTAAAGAAGGTGGTTCGACAAAGGGGGGCATGGGAAAACCAAGGGCCTCCAAATGGTCAGACGAGATGCCCATTAGTTTCACAAGATTTGCATGATTTACCTTCTGCAGAATATTTAGTTCCTCTGTGACATTTTCCTTGGTGTTCTTTACAGCTAAGACCTACCCATCAATTATGGCTCTGTATACAGACCCTCCTATCATGCAGTGCTCATTGAGATTCATGGTTGCCTCCATAATTGTTTTGATCTCATGCATGATTGGCTTTCCTAGATTGAACAAGGTGGAGGAGGTGGCCGGGATTGCTAAGGGGGGTGGCTAATAGGTGGATCCCTAGCAGAGATCAAGTTAATGCTATGGCAGTCCCTTTTGGATGACATGCAAAGTATTTCATACCAATAAGCGCGAGATTGCCCCAAAAATAGGTATCCTCTCTCTCTCTCTCCCTCTCTCATATTTTATTGAATTCACAGTTATAGTTTATGGTTAGCTTTGTCTGATGTTTTATCTTTAATTTGATGACAGAAAACATTATATTGATGATAACTATTGAATTAGCCAAACAAAGGTAATATCTCTATCGCTAAATTTGTGCTATTGAAAGCCAAATATAATATACACAACAAGATGATACAAAATGCATTGTTCATAAATTTGTCCTAGTGAACTACAAGAAATACTTTGTTTGCCTAGGTAGCAACATAGGCAGTATATCTGTTGGCAGGAGGAGCATTGAAAAAACATTGCAAGCCATAAACAACCTTCTTTCAGGCTATGTGCATTTTGGATACCTTAAATTTCTTTCTGCAAAAACATTCTTAGTTAGAAGATATACTAGCAAAGCTTGTGTTGTGATCTTAGTAAGCATAGCTTAAGATGCCAAGGAAACATTTTAAAGTTCAAGCATTAGGTTTTCAAACCTTAACCAGTGCCACATATAGTTTCATATATGACATGACTTTGGTCGGTTTCCTGTATAAGAGTTTCCATTGTTCATTAAGCACAAATTTACTTTTTTCATGTCCTTTGCTCAATACTTTAGAGCGCGGAAGTAGTTGTTTTGACACATTGACTACTGCATCTGATTTCACTTTTATACATGCAAACCAATTATTCATAAAATCACACCTTCAACCTTAGCTCACACTTTGAGCCTTAAATTTCAAGAGTTGACAAACAAACAAAAAACTTCATACCTAAGTAGCAGATAATCACCTTCAAGACACAAAAAATACAGATCTAAGTGAGCCAACAATGGTATGGATAAAAAGAAAAATATAAGAAAAAACTATTAACAGTGATAGTAGTAAAGTTGAAATTGTATAAATATCCCAGATTTATGATATAAATAAAAAGGCAAAAACTTCTTACAAAAATATAGAAACAAATTCTTACCAGCCATATATGATATGGAACCAAAGAACGAATAAAGAAAAGAAAGAAAAAAAAAGTGAGGAGAGGGAACGATAAGTGAGAGGAGAGAGAGAGAGAGAGACTTGCAAAACATAAAACAGAAAAAATATATATATAATTAGGTGGAGACCGGTTTTAAATTGCTTTTTTTTTGGGGGGTTAATGTTTTAAATTGAAACTTTGCTTTGAGAAAATAAATATTAAAGAAGTTACTACACACATAAATTTTTTAAATTGTTGTGCACGAAATGATTTTTATGTCTGGTATGTCACGTCAGTCAGATAAAGACATTGTTTTTTTGTGTCTATCTAAATAATCACTTACTTTTCCTTAAAAAATATCAAATAATAAATATATAACTATTGTGCCACGATTTTTTGTGCCCAATGTTAATATCGTGTCCTATGTGCATGAATTTAGCACTATCATTCGTGTTTTATAAGAAACAAGGACATTTTTTGGTATTTTGAATGTTTCACCATTCTTTGCTTTTTGTTTTATATATATATATATATATATATATATATATAGATAAGCACAAAAATAATTTATTTGTGTCTAATTTAAAAAAGAAGGCACAATATTTTATTTGTGTCCTTATGCCTGTGGTCTTTGATCAGGTTTTTTAGTAGTGGAAGCACCTATAAAACATGACAAGATAGAACAAGAAAACAAACAATTCTTCACATAGGAAGGAGAAGGACCATATGTATCTCCCATTTTTGTATACGAAAATTCTACGGTGGACCTGGTGCATGGATGTGCCAGGTCCTATTGACCGTTAGATTTCTCTAAAATTTCATGAGTAAATTTACACCATTGAATGGGATAACTTGAAAACCTGCTGAGCAGGTTGAAAGAAAATTCCCAACCCATCAAAACCTAAGCCCCCTCTTCACTCACTTCATCTTTCTATCTCTTACTCTCATGACCCTAAACCCTCACTCACTCACTCACTCTCTCTCTCTCTCTCTCTCTCTCTCTCTCATGTAGGGCATCAAGGATCTGGCCAAAATGACGTTGTTCATAAATGAGAGCTATGCAGACCGAAGGCTTCCTCACCTGTTTCTGTTTGTGTTTTGAATAGTCAAAGGGTGGTTTTGTGTTTGTTGGGTTTGTGATGAGAGAGAGAGAGAGAGAGAGAGAGAGAGAGAGAGAGAGAGAGAGAGAGAGAGAGAAATTGGAGATGGCAAAAAAAAGCTACTTGAAAATGATGACTGCATCAAATGCAAATGCATTGATCCACTCTGATCTCAAAGACCTTGCCGCTGCTACTAAAAAGCTTGCCAACCATGCCATCCATCTGGGGCAGCTTAGGCTTTGGCACCTCTTTCCTCAAATGGGTTGGTTCTTTTGCTACAATGTATGCCCCTCTCCTTATTATTGAGATTTTTTCGGTTGATCTTTGTGTCATGAATTTGATTTTAACAGTATTGATTCATATGTGTTTCTGGGTAATAGTTTAATCATGTTAATTGACAAGACTCGACCCAAATTCCACTTTGGAATCTACGCTGAACCCTGTGAGTGTCCGACACCTGGCAGGTGTCGGGCACACTTGACCAAATTGCCCATCTAAGACTCAAAATTCCTTTTCAAGTTTGATTTCTGCCAAAAATTCAGCAGAGTCTCCTCTGTATAATGCTTGTTTCCCAAAATTTTCACCTGTATGAAAAACAATTCAAATATCCATAACCATTCAGCATGCACAATGTTAGAATTCATGCAACCAAACAACAAATCTTTATGGCCTCAGGCCTTACAAAAATCCTAGGGCAATTTCAGAGCAAGCTAATTCAGTAAATTACAAAAGTAGAACAGTTACAAGAGAACATCCTACATAGAAGAAATAGGATGAATCGTGGTAATGATTGTCCGGTGATGGTGCTCTAGTACACGACTACTGCCTGGAGGCGCAAAACATTTAAAAATGTGAGTGGACAAAAGAAAGTTTTGGAAAATATAATATCAAAATACTAGCCTCACTGTTAAAACCATTTAAAAATTCAATTATAACCATGTTCTATGTTTGTACAAAAATCAAGCATGCATATCTATATACATATAACCTATCATGCATTCAATCAAATCATCAAAACCAACTAAAAGCATTGAAAAAGTGATAATTCCTTTCCACCTAGTTGTACCCACAATAAAACAATCAATTCCATGATTTTATATTTGATTCCCACATTATACCATCAATTCCTTGGGTCACATAAGCGACACATCATCGCAGGCCTTGGTAACGCAAAGTTAACCCAGCCGCATTCCTCGAAAGACTCAGGGGACACTTGGTCAACCTAAGCTGCATTCCTCGCTCCTCACGATCCGGATATCCCTAAGACTTGTGGGGCAACTGTCAAATGCGTGCCAACTCAACCAAAGGCAACTAGCATGTCCGTGGACATCATTATAACTGAAGGCCACATATTATTCGGAGGCAACCTTCTGGGTACCTATGGTAGTTTAAAAACCTTTCATGTTGTCATTTCTTTTTTTTACTTTCCAAGCCATTCACATTTAAACATAAACAGAATTTAATAAAAATATTTGGATTCAAACTTATTGCTTGGAAAGCAAAACCATAAATAATTCATTCTAGAGAAATAATAAAACTTTTACTACATAAAACATTTATAAAACAAAAGTCCACTCATTGAGAGTCCGAGCTAGCCTGACCCTTTGAGGGTCCTTCTTGCGGGTTCAATGAACCTCGAGTACCTATGTAAGCAATTAAAACATTTAATCAATAAAATAACTCAACCACAATTATTTAATCAAAACCCTGACCCTCGGCCTCAAAAGTGCGTGTATGTAACTTACGAAGGTTCCAAGGCCCATTTTCAACATTTCTGACATGTGGAATGGTCTGAAAAGACTCGAGATTGAATAAGTGATAAAATTTTCATATTGGTAATTTCGATCCCCGTGGGGTCAATGACCTTCGATTACCAATTCAAGAGTTCCTATAGGTTCAACACAATTTACTAAACATGCCCTGCAAGGTTGGTCTGAATCAAACGGTCGAATCGCTCGTGATCGCACGTTCGGATGTTTACGGTTTACCTAAATTTTTAATTATTGAATCGGAGTATCCAGGACTCCGATTCTCGATCGGCCAATTTCTACACAATCCTAGAGGTACCTAGATCAATATATTTGAGAATGAAGTCAATCCAATGGTCGAAACATATCGAACCCGGATAACGCCTAATATGCGATATCCAATTGACAATCAGAAGGTAACCAAAATGAAATCCGAGCATACCATCATGCTTGGAATGACGTAGAGATCATTTTAGGACCAAAGGCCAAGCCGACGAGCTGCCACCATTGTCGGGTGTGTAGATAAATTTCCCGGCGATCAGAAAACTCCAAACCGCCGGCCAATATTCATACCTACAGATCAAGCACATCAAAGGGAGTAACTTTATACCTTTTCTCGAAGATCAATTCCACCGTTAAAGCACTCGAATGAATGATTTTGTCTTTGAAAAACTTAGAAAGTTTTGGGTTTGGATTTGACAATTTCTACTTGAAATTGGGTCGAGTCTTTGAGGGAAATCACATAGGGAAGTTAGAGGAGTGTTTTGGAAGTGATTTGGTGGCCGGAATAGGCTTCGGTGGTCACTGTTTGAAATAGCCCATTTTTGGGCTCACTTCGCTTGAATTTTAGGTTTAATTCCTTGGATTTGGGGGCTAGAAATCAGTATGGATGTGAAAAGGAGAGAGAGACGAAGGGAATGGGACCAATTTTGTGGCTGAAGTCCAACGGACATGGCCAGAAACGCCGCCGGAAGCCATGGAGGTCGTGGCTTCTGAACAGAGGAGAGAGAGAGAGAGAGAGAGAGAGAGAGAGAGAGGAGAGAGAGAGAGAGAGAGAGAGAGAGAGAGAGAGAGAGAGAGAGAGGAGAGAGAGAGAGAGGTTTCTAGTTTTTAAAAACTGACTTTGCAAAAATTACGATTGTGCCACAGGACTTCTTTTGATCGTAACCTCTTCAATATAACTCAGATTTGAGCCCTCTACGTGTCCACAGACTCATCTTGACGTGATCTACGAAAGGGTACAACTAGAATCCTCGGATTCCTTCCAGAACAAAAAGTAAAGTTTTAACCTATTAAAATATTCTCGGGGTAAAATTATCTTTTACTTGAATAAATTAATAATTAAATATTAATTTAGGATTGGGTTGTTACAATCTACCTCCCTTCGAATAGGTAAGGGTACTGGGCCCGCATCTACTCCTTGGGTTCCCAATTTATCCGAATGCAACATATTATATGAAGGCAACCTTTTGGGTACCTATGGTGGTTTAAAAACCTTTCCTGTTATCATTTCCTTTTTCTACTTTCCAAGCCATTCACATTTAAACATAAACATAATTTAATAAAAATATTTGGATTCAAACTAATTGCTTGGAAAGCAAAAGGGCTGACAATGGGTCCGGTCGTGTCGTGTCGGGATAATAAACGTGACAAGAATGCTCAATCCGAACCCAACCCATTTAATAAACGTGTCGTGTCGAGTTCGGGTCGTCTTTTATCGTGCAGGTTTCGAGTCGTGTATCGGGTTCATAAATAATAACATGCATGTTACAAAACTCACAACTGAAAAAATTTAAATAAAAAAAAACGGTGAGAGGAGAGAAAATATAAGGGAAAAAAAGAAAAAAAAAGATAGAGAGAAGAGAGAAGAGAGAAGAAAGAAAAAAAAAAGAGAGAGAACTAAAGAGAAGGAAAAGAAAGAAAAAAAAAGAGAGGAGAGAAAACTAAAGAGAAGGAAAAAAAAAAGAAAAAAAAAGAGGAGAGAAAACTAAAGAGAAGGAAAAAAAAAGAAAAAAAAAGAGGAGAGAAAAGGGAATGAAAAGAAAGAAAAAAGAGAGAGGAGAAGATAGACGGAAAAGAAAGAAAAACAAAAGAAGAAAAAGAAACATTATAAATATCAAAAGGCATAGTATATAATCACAAAGTTGTATGTAGCATGATGGATAAGGTGTTGGAGAGGAATGAGGGTGGCGGGGGTTCAAAACCCCTAGTGTTTGTTTTGAAGTCTTCATTTCTCTTCATTTTTTCACGAGTTGGCTTGTATTACACGGGGTCGGTTTAATAAACGGGTTAAACATGTGTTTTAATGGGTTGGCGGGTTGACCCGAAACCCACCTGTATAATAAACGGGTCATAACGGGTTGACCCAAAAATTACCCAATTATTAATCGTGCTGGTTCAAGTTTTTTTTCTTTCCGTGCGGGTTTCAAGTCGTGTAACGGGTCGTGTAGGAAATTGCCACCCCTAAGTAAAACCATAAATACTTCATCCCAAAGAAATAATAAAACTTTTCCTACATAAAATTCATTTATAAAACAAAAGTCCATTCACTGAGCGTCCGAGCTAGCCTGACCCTTCGAGGGTCCTTCCTGCAGGTTCAATGAAGCCCAAGTACCTATTTAAGCAATTAAAACATTTAATCAATAAAATAACTCAACCACAATTATTTAATCAAAATCCTGACCCCCGGCCTCAAAATTGCGTGTACGTAACTTACGAAGGTTCCTAGGCCCATTTTCGACATTTTTGACAATAGAATGGTCTGAAAAGACTCGAGATTGAATAAGCGATTAAATTCCCATATTGGTCATTCCAGTCCCGAGGGGTCCACGACATTCGATTACCAATCCAAGAGTTCTTATAGGTTCAACACAATTTACTAAACATGCCTTGCAAGTTTGGTCCAATTCGAAAGGTCGGATTGCTCGCGATCGCACGATTGGATGATTATCGTTTACCTAAACTTTGAATTATTGAATCAGAGTATCCGGGACTCCAATTCTTGATTCGTGAATTTCTACATGATCCTAGAGGTGCCTAAATCAACATATTTGTGAATGAAGTCGATCCAACGGTCAGAACATATCCAACCCAGATAACGCCTAAGATGCAATATCCGATCGACAATCAAACGGTAACCAAAATGAAATCTGAGCATACTATCGTGCTCGGGACGATGTGGGGATCATTTTAGGACCAAAGCCTGACCTTGACATAAGTGTTCCATAAACTTGTATACTAGATCCTTAATCTAATAAATTACAAGATTTGGGTTCTTATTTACAAGGTCTCAGTTAGTCATCGTATGTTACCACATATGTTCTTGATAGTGTTCCACTAAATGGGAAAAATTATACCAATAACCTTATTAAAGCAAATAGCTTTTATATTTATAGCCTTGTAAACATTGATTCAGATTATTTTCTTTTTCATTTTTCTTCTTTGAGGAGGCTTGATAATACTGTCGAGCAGATATCCTCATAGCCATGCTTTATGTATGCCCAAAAAAAAAAAAACCATGCTTTATGAAGTTTGGGTAAATGATGATTATAGCAATAAGTGAGCTGCTGTGTACATGTCTGTGAAATAGGTGAACCATCAAATAAGACTACAACTTGATATTGTAACTTAAATCTTTTTCAACTTTTTCAAGTGAAGAGAGTTGTGCTATCATTTTTCTTTAGAGTAAAGAGAAATAAATGAAAGAAACGATTGGTTAAATTGTACCAACAACTAATACAATGATTTTCAAGTCCATGACCAATCTACTGCATTAAACCCTCTCGTGCTGAAAACAAAGTTGATTGGTCCAAACCCCAATACCTGCAAATAAAACAATTACCATTTCAACAAGAAGCCTGATATTAATGAAATTGATGCCTACATATTTCAAAATAAGTATTAATGTGATGTGATATATACCTCTAAAAATATAAACCCCTCCTGGCAAGGGCCTCAAACAAATGCGCCAAAAAACTTGACATAAAACAATTTAGGGCATCATATGCTTCCTCATCAGTTGAGGGCTAGAAGGACATACAATAAAAATTAGAATAATAAAACTAAATTTAAATTGAAAGACAAAATAAATAGTAATTAGTTCAGTATACCGGGTGTGTGCCTATATTGCAGTTGTATTGAAGGAATGATAATGTAGTGTTTGTGTAGCTTTTAGGGACACATGCTATAATCGGTTTGTTGGCCTTTCTGTGGACATAGTGCATAATCTCATAGTAGGGGTAATGTGCCTTATATGGAGGTAGACATGTACATATAAGGCACATCACCCCCTCTCCGTTGATCGATGTGGGATGTTACACTGGGTGCTTTAATAATATTTGGCTACATATAAGAAAAAGAAAATTTCACAAATAACTACTATAATAGTGAGTTAAAAAGCTATTAAAAAAAGTAATAGTTGTTGCTTACAGGTCGTTGTAGTTGTCTGCTTGGTATATCAGAAACATTGTTAACTCTGTAGGCACTTGAAGAGCAGGGAAGAAAGAATTAATCATTTGGATAAATTGAGTAACATCATCTCCTATCACTGGGCATATTTTTGAAAATTTCACACGGTTGTTTACAATATAAATATTTGTTAGAGAAATATTGCTCCCATGAGCGGCACGAGGAATGATATGGTTCAAAACATCCCTACAAAAACAACATTAAATAAAGCATTATTATTTTTTTTTTGGCAAGAAATAAATTGTAAGTGAAGAAATATTTAATAGACAACATATAATATAGCATTAATGTTTTCTTAGCAAGAAATTTTTTTTAAGTAGAGAAATATGTAAATAGACAACATTAAATATAACATTAATGTTTTCTTGTCATGAGTTGAAAGAGTATCATAAAAGCTAATACATAGCAAAGCAAATAGTAAAAGTGGTGGGGAAGCTTATATCTTTGTTCCTAGTAGTCAATTTTGAACTCATTGCTTGTACTTTACTTTTCTCTTTCTTATCAAGTGGACTGGCAACAAGCATTAACAAATAAGAAAGAAGAGCACTAAAACAAAACAAAATTTGTCGGAACCCTTAAGTTATGGAGTGATTATTCAAATCAGTAAGTTGATTGCCACCAACCCAATCCTGAAGAGTATAATCAACGGTCTCCGTGAAAATGATAATCCTGCCACCCAACAATTCAGCAAAATGGAATAACCTGAGGTATTTTTCATTGTGGTAGTTATGTGATGTAGCTAACCATGACTCAGCTATATATTTTGTAGTTCGATCAAATACGTGATAGTCTGCATAATAAGTACCACCCTTGTAGTTTGTTATTGATCCCTGGTATCTATTGTGACTTATAAGGATGCCTACTGAATAAAAGTAATTCACAATAACCCTAAAAAAAAAAAGTAGAAAGAAAAGAAGAAAAGAGAAACACAACCAAAAAAAAAAAAATAAAAAAAAATCAATTAATAACGGTAAAACAAATGAAACACTTACATGTGGTTGTTAGAATTGGCCAGTCGAGATTTGATGTTGCATATGCAAATAAGTAGTAAGTTATATGTTCAATTATAGTCTAGAAGAACTATTGCTTGCTATAGCGCTACAATGAGTTAAAACTTTGAACAACACAATTTACCTTTTCAGAAAGATGGTGGTGAGGGAGAATGCAGCAACCTAGCTTGTTACAATTTTGTGTCAATTTGTTATTGAACGTGTTGTTGGAAGATGAAATGATTGTTAGAACATTGTTTGAACCATTAAACAAAAACAAGTCATTTGATCTCATGTTCATTGTGCGTGATGCTGGTTATTGACAAAAAACAAACAAAAACAAAAAGTATTAAGGACTCTTTGTACAATATTTTGGACCTTAGTATTCCATAAACTTGCAAAATTATATATATACTAAAACTAAATCTGAGTCGTTGTTCCTAGACTGTTCCTTAGGAATAGTAAAATCAGGATTTTTCCCTCAACTAAACCTTTTCACCATTTCCCTTTTTGCCCTTTCCCTTTTGCATCTCCTTCGTTGCGAACGTTTCACTCGCTTAGAAATTTCTTCATCGTTCTCATCGTTTCTTCCTCTTTCATTCCATCGTTCTTTGTTTCATCTCATCCTTCTTGAAAATTGCAAGATAAATTTTCTTGGTGTGCCGATTAAAGCCAAGCAAGTAAAATCGATAAAAGGGGTAAGATTTGTTAAGCCTATTGATTCTACCAATTGTTGGTCGATTATAGGTCGATCGATTCTATCGATCTCTTAGTTATATTTATAATTTGTTTTCTTTGTTGATCTTCATTTTTTATCTTTTTTGTTGATTCATATAGTGATTGTTTTTCCTTATTTTATTTTATTTTTTATAATAATTGTTTTGGGTTGTGTTTGATTTATGGGTTTTGTTGTTCAGGTAATTTCTCTTTTGTTACTTCATGTTGTTTTCATTTTGATTGATTCATATATTGATATATGCGTTTTCCCTATGTGGTTTTCTTCTCCAATTTTTCTGTTTTTTCTTCCTTTAATCTTTAGTAACCAAGAAAGAATATTACATGCAATAGAGTAACTTGCCTTTTTGCTTTTCCAGTGGAAATAGAGGCCATCTCTTTCAAAATAAGAAAGGTATGCCTTATAGCTCTATAGGTGAGAAAGAGCTAGATGAGGTTTTCCCCCAACAATAGTTGTTTTTTCTTCCTTTTTTAAAAATTCTCTATTTTCCCTTCTTTTTAAACCGTGTTTTCTTTTGATATTCTGCAAGTGTTCTTTTGTTGCTTTGCTCCACTCCACCAATACTTTCTTCTCCTTAAATAGGTCAAGATGTTCTTAGTCTTTTATTGCCTCAATCAAAAGCTACAACCTCAACCAAAGGGCTTCAATGAATTTCCTCATTTCTTCGGCCATAAGATTTTTTGTTGATGCTCGGCACTCGCCGAGCTCATCCGCCCAATAAAAACACAACACATAATTTCATACGATGCACCAACACCTCGGCCTTGGCCTCTGAGTTGCCCCAGGAAAAACGAAAGGATGTAAGCCATCCACGTCGATGACAAGATCCCTTCTGACCGCCGACCCTTCACACCTCTTAAAGCGTGCCCCCATCCCATCGTAAGCTAATTGTTAGCCACTTGAGTCGCCACCTCCTTAGATGGGATTGCAGCCATATGTGCAGGGAAGCTATTCTGCCCAGGCCCGCCCCTAGTAGAAATGTAAGAGATCCATCATGAGCTAGGGACATGGACCAATCCCGACCACTCGTCATCTGGCAGATCTGATGTGACACAATCAGCTAGGCGCGAAGCCGAGATGGGCGGCTTGTGAATTAATCAATATTTTGTAGTCCCTATAAATAGAATAAGACTTCTTGTAAAGAGGGAATTGGTCATTCAAGACCTAAAGGAAGAGAAAAGGAAATAACAAGTCGAAACTCTATCATTTTTTACGTACGATATAGCTCCAAGAAAATCTCATCTCCTTAATAAAGCTATAACCATTCATCCTTACATCGTGTTAATCAATTGAATATTTGTGATTTAAACAATTTTGTTTTTCTGTTCTTTCTTGCTCACAGAATTCACAATATTCTACCAAGAGGTATTTCTTCACCATAATCGAAAGTTATTATCTTTTTTCTCATTGTCATGTTTTGTAACTTTCCTATTTTGTCTGTTCACGAGGTTGTAAAAAGAGAGAAAGGGGCCACCTCTACCACAACCACTACCACGACCCAACCACCTCGACCATCACTTACCACCACCACCACCATCACCACATCCACTACGATCACTACCACCACCACTCTGATAAGAGTAGAGTGTCCATAGTATCAAGGGGGTCCACTTACAAAGGACGTAAGAGAGAGCTGCATGGGTTGCCTTGTTGAGCTTCTCCTCAGCAACCAAAAGTAATAATATTAACAATAATCATCTACACTCATACACCCATCAAGACAACGTGAATATTCCATGGCCACATGAAGTTGTCTACCATCTTGATTGAGACCCATCTATTGTTGCTTCCCATGCCTTGTAATTTATTCCCATCACCTTTCGTCTCTTATGCTTTAGTTATCTTTCCTTCACTACTATATAAACCAACTTTGTAAAAACAAAACAACACTACAAAAAGCCTAAACGCAAACAATCAACAGAAATGAGTGTTTTTCTTTTATACCTTTTAACTTTCATTTTCCTCTTTATGTCTTTTACTTTCATGGTATCAAAGTAGCCATAGTCACACGGCATTGCCTAGCTTAATATGTCTGAAAATTCATATATGATAAATTCCTTTGTAGAGCCACAAAATTCTTCCTCTCATCCCTCCATTCAAACACAACACATTGTCTCTCTTCTTCCAACAAAACTCAACCGTGACAACTACATTTTGTGGAAAGATTTATTTCTCCTTATTCTCAAGAGCTATGATCTCATTGGCATTGTTGATGGATCAGAACCTTGCCCTCCTTAGTTCCTCACAACCACAACTACGCAAACATCCACTGTCTCCCCCCAACAAATCACAGAAAACCCCTAATTTATGCTTTGGAATAAAAAGGATCTCAGTTGCAAAATCATCATCAATGCTTCTTTCATTGAAAGCATTCTTCCCTATATAGTAGGTTCCAACACCGATTGTGACCTTTGGTTAAATCTCGAGAAAAGGTTCTCCTCCACAACAAAGTCTCATCTTTTCTAGCTCAAGACAAAAATCCAAACACTCAAAAATGGCTCTCTCTCGATTATTGAATACTTACAGCTCATTAAGCAAATTGTCAGTGCTCTTACTGCAGCTAGTTCACCACTTGCTCACACAGATTTTGTGGCCCATGTTCTCAATGGCTTACCCCCTAAATATGACTCATTTGCCATCTTTATCCGGGTTCGATCTAAGACAGTCAATGCTGTAGATCTTCGCGGTCTTCTCCTAAGTGAAGAAATGGCTCTAAGTAATCGTATTCCCACACTTTCTGAACCACAAACCATTGTCTTTCACACCATATCATCAAAACTCTCAACATCCACGTCCTTCACCTCACAATAACCCCAACAACCAATCCACTTCTAACTTTCACTCAAATCGAAATTTCAAGAAGTTCACCATACCACCATCATTCTCCAACATGCCCTCATTTCGTCCCACAAACTACTTCAACCACAGAATCACATGTCAACTTTGTTTTCAAAAAGGCCACACTGGCTTGACTTGTAGGAACGGTCCTGGTCACTCATTCTCAAGTCACACTCCACCATTAAGGCTCACAACTAACCACTACACCATCCCAACACCTTTCCCCTCTGCCTCTTATGTATCAAACATGCCCAACAACAATCATGCTGCTTTCACAAATTGGTATGTGGATTCAGGTGCAACCGACCACATCACAAATGATCTGTAAAATCTTTCCTTGCACTCTAAGTATACTGGCGTATTCAAGGTCCATGTTGCCAATGGTCAAGGTTTGAACATTCAAAACACTGGTAAAGCTCATCTCTTCACATCCAAATCCTAATTCACACTCAATAATGTCATGCACACTCCTCAAGCCACACACAATCTTCTCTCTATCAATACGTTTGTTAAAGACAATTGTTGTGATATCATTCTCACACATTTTTCTTGTCTTATCAAGGATCTTGTTTTGGGGAAACTTCTGTATCAAGGCCCTACTGAAGAAAGTCTTTATCCAATTCATCTCTCCAAGTCATCTAGCAACCTTTTCTACCTTCATGCTAAAGCTCCTTCACCATTATGGCATCAACGATTAGGCCACCCTTCTCAACAAGTTCTTCGCCAACTCTTAGCTAAGAACAAAATCAATGTAACCGATTCATTGAATCAACTTCCTCTATACTCAGATTGTTAATTAGGAAAGGTCTCAAAATTGCCTTTTAAACCTTCCTCTTGTAATTCTAGTGTATCTTTTCAATTAGTTAACTCTGATATTTGAGGACTAGCCCCTTTAATCTTCTGCATCTCATTATCGATTTATATTATTTTCATTGATGACTTCACTTGTTTTTGTTGGATCTAAGCTTTCCAAGTATTCCAATCATTCAAGCTACTCATAGAAAATCAATTTGATCATAAAATCAAAATTCTTGGCAATGACAATGAGGGGGAGGAGAATACACTAGTAATGCTTTCAGACACTTTCTCATTTCTCATGGAATTATCCAACAATTTTCATGTCCACACACACCTGAACAAAATGGGATAGCCGAAAGAAAACATCGACATATCATTGAGCTTACTAGGACTCTTTTTGCATAGTCAAATCTTCCTTTGAAGTATTAGGTTGAAGTTGCACAAACGATAGTCTATCTCATAAATAGAATGTCATTGTCTTCTATCAACTTCATCTCACCTCTCCAAAATTTGTGCCATTGTGCACCAGATTATCAATTCATGAAAGCCTATGGCTGTTTATGTTATCCTTGGCTACATCCCTATTCTTAACACAAGTTAGATTTTTGGAGTAAAAAATGTGTGTTTATGTTTTTTTTCATTATTGGTTGCTTTTATGAATTTTGGCTTAAAATTTTTATGTAAACACTGAATATATTGGCCAGTCAATGAATTGAGAATATGGTGGAAATCGATTAATAAAATAATCAAGTAATAAATGCAAGGTGTGTTAAACTGATAAACTCAAATCCGCAATTACATCCACAAGGCTGTACACTTATTTTGAAATTATGAGCCTCATTAACCAGGTACAATGCAAGCTCCAATCCTCGACAATACATCTGATAATATAACTGAATTTTATCTTTTTCTATTTCTAGACATGTTACTTTTGATGGAAAAGTTTTTCTATGCTCTCGGTTTGGCTCTGCTCTACTACACCAATACTTTCTTCTCCATCAAAGGGTCAGGATGCTTCTTGGTCTTTCATTGACCTAATCAAAAGTTGTCACCTCAACCAAATGGCTTAAATGAGTTTCCTCATTTCTTCTCCATAAATGGGTCAGGATGCTTCTTGATCTTTCCTCTTGCCACTACAACAAAATATATATTAGTGGATGATCAACATAAATTACCACCAACTAGGATACCGAAGGGATGGGCAAAAGGAAACTGCCAAACGGTAGATGAACAACTTACTCTCTTCTTTCTTTCTCCTTAACTTCTCAGCTTTACCTATCAACCTCACTTTGAATAGGTTGCCAAAGCTCAACAACATCTTAGAGAATCGATTGTCTTCAGCAACCTTCCTCCTCACTCTTTCGAACTTTCCAATGTCCCCCTTCGATGCGCTCGACTACTTTAAAGAAACTGCACACAAAATAACCCAGCTTGCTTAGAAACGACACGAAACAATCAATGCATAAAATATCGGTATGAAATAGTTACTACGTGTAGAAAAATAGGCCTAGACATATTGTCAAATGACACCCCCCGTGCCTACCGATTGTTTGAAATGAGGTAGGGATATGCTTTTCTACGGCCTCCCTGGTAGCTGATTCCCAACTATCGGACACTAGTACCCGTTGATGTCTTCATGTTGTTTTGCGAGCTCAGCACCCTAGTCATGAAGTCTTTCACTCCCTAGCATAAGGCAGTTAGATTGCACTCAACCTCCCTAATCCAAGCGTTATCTAGAAGTCCGGATTAAACTGCCCTGCGACATAATCAATCTACGCTAATATCCTCTATACCGATGGCCTCAACAGTATCCGAAGGCCATACTTGAGCACATCGGTAAAAAAGACAACTTCACTGTTTGGGTTGCTTGCTATTTCCAACAAACCAAGGAGCTGCATCCCTATTGATGCTAGAATGTGATAGTTCGCCTGGAACTTGGCCAACTCCCAATTTGTTAGCATATTTGGCACCAGGAAATCCACACCAAAGACCCCGACCTTTCGGCTGAGCCATCGGCACTCGCTGGTTGCCTATAACCACGCTCAATATTCCCTCTGTAGGGACAGATGTGGAACCTTCAGCTGCCTGATCACCATGGCCCAATGTAGAAGTCTTGATTGATAGCTTGCATGCTTATCCGTCACACCAGTACCTCACATAAGAAACTCTAAGTACTTAACCGCATCAACTGCCTACAGAGAATTCGAAATAGGATGTAAAGTACCCATAGCTTCAACAGGCACCACCAAATGCTCTTCATCTAATATTTCTAGATCAGTGCCATTTGATTCGGCATCCCCATAATCGGTAGCCTGATTATTGTCAGATGAATCCACATTGAACACTGCAGGACTATACTCATACTCTGACTCGCTCTCTGACATCTACAAATACAAGTGAAAGGAAATTAAATGCCATGTTCAAATCCAACTACCGACCCTAATGCATCAAAGCCTATGTTCTTATGAAACATACCAAGTTCATGCAAATTCATATATGTTCATGAAAAACTTCAAAAAAATCATGCACTTTGATTTGCTAGGACAAGGGCTGAGGCTACATATCTTGTTTTGCACAGTTGTGAAGAACGCCAGAAATCGCCACTCACTAGAAACCGCATGTCAGAAATTACCTTATTGCTATAATTCACTCGCCAGAAATCGCCTCTCTTAAGCCTAAATTTTTTCTCTCAACGCTAAGCGGGGCTTTTCCAACGCGACCTTCCCTATTTTTATACTAAAGGTCTAGCATCAAGAAGCAAAAAGACACCATCATTATGGCAGCCCCTTGGTGACATGCGTCCACTACTAGCATTGAATACCCAGCAGTGTGTGCATAGAAGCCTAGGCATCATAACATGTGACAACTACTATCCCATGCCACCAGTTCCAAGGAATCTCAAAGTGCATTGCGATTCGACAACCAGCTCAAGTCATCAACACATGCCGAGCGGCAGCCGCATAGGGTCATGCTTCTCCCCTTCCCTCCCATTCACCCTTGCATGTTGAACAGTAGGTGTATATGATTGAACTACCACTTTCCATACCGTTTGGCAGGGCCCCATTACATGCCCCATGGAACCACTCTAAGCTTGTCGTTTGGTAGCTAATGTCCAAGTACCCTCCTTCCAAGCAACCCCTTGGTTGGAGACTTGGGGAATTATGAGACTATCATCAGAAAGTATGGAGAACTAGCTTAAATCTCTGTGCCGAGGCTCTGGGTCAAAATGCTTAAAACACGTGCAAGTCCCCAACCAAGAAGTCCTTTCTCAATCGAGAACTTATAAGGCTCTTGTTTGTACCATATTTGATCGGACCCACAAGCCATGACATGTTAAAGGAACCTGATGCCAAGAAAGGTCCATAAAAGCCCACACTGGCCAACCCAATTGTTGAGGCTCATATTTGCCAATTGATGGGGACCTTCGGTACCCCGTGCCAATTCTGCTTACTGAAGGTACCTCACGAGGTTTCATATTGAAAATATTCACCAGGACTCGTGGCACCCTTTTAGGCCATTTCCACGAGTCCCACATTGAAAGTTTACACCAAATGAACACCCTCATACCTTTATAAATGGAACCCCTTACCTCCAGGGCACAAGGTAGCATCAACTTGACATTTATACCCCTGCTCTATTAATAGCTACCTCATCTCTCCTTTGGCTAACTTTAGCATCGGAAGGCCTTCGACTGGTACCACACTAGTACCCAAGGTCTCACTCTTTGTCTTTCCTTCTTCTCCTTACAAATAGTCCTTGGCTTGCTGAAGGGAGGCACCTACCGAAGGCAGATCACACATCATCTTTAAGTTTGGACCCACCATTGGTCATCCAGTTTTGAGTATAAACATAATAGAAAATGATAATTTGTGTAAATGAAAAGAGAAAGGATTTAAGTTGATGTTTATCTATATATATATAAAGCAAAAGGTAGAGAATGGTAAAACATTCAAAATACCAGAGAATGTCATTGATTAATGCAAACATTAAGAATTGAAATTATTAATTAAATGAGGATAATATGATAAATTCACACTTTTTCATATTAAAAAAAATTAAAATTAAAAGAAAAATTGGATAATGAATTCTATTTTTATGAAGCACAACTACCCATTATATTTTTTAATTATAAAATAAAAATAAAAAAACCTCTCGCAGGCGCGGAAGCGAGTGTGGAGAGGCTAGTGAATATAATAGAAATACTATAAAAATTCAAGATAAACACAAAGTAAAACTTAGCTTGGTTGGTTAAGGGCACTTGTTATGAAGTGGAGGTCATGGGTGTGCTTGGTTGTGCAAAAAAAAGGACAAAATTGTAAATGTAACTCCTCATAATAAGCAGCCCACAATACATGGGCCTTCATTCACTAAACCCAAAAGCAAAATTAGTCATTTAGGGACAATTTGACATTTATGTGTTGTGAAAATAATAGCTGTCAGATTTACTGTAAGAGAAATCAGTTATGAGAGAAAGTAGCTTTTGGTAAACATTTTTTTAAAAAGTGTTGTTGATGCTTATTCCCACATAATCAAAAAATATTGTCGCATAATCATTAAATCCAACGCCTCTTTGAAATTGATTCATGCATAATCAGAAAATGAAAGCACCTCATTAGCTACTTTCTCTTATAGCTTTCTCTCACAACAATTTTTAATAATAAGTTATTTTCTCGTAGTTTACCAAACGAGCTGAGTTTCCCAAATTTTTTTAAAAATCACTTATCACCCCAAATAAATTAGAGATATTTAGTGAAATACCCATTCTTAGTACTAATATTATAAATAAACTCTACACCATTAAATTTCTATAAACAAACCAAAAAAAAACCTAAAAAATGACAGTTGGCCTTATTGAATTTAATATTGAATATTAAATTACTTTGATGCATATTGAGTGTTTTGGGTATTTTTATGAGATTTTGGGGTTGAGCTTGTTTTAAGAAATTGATGGCAGTTTTGTAATTTATAAGAAATTAAAAGCTTATTTGTTATGTTATAAATAGGTTTTGGATGTGTTTATAAAGTCTATTTCATATGGGGTATTTTTATAATTTGGGCTTCTATATTGGGTATAATAGTGAATCTCCCAATAAATAATGTCAAACAGGCACTTAGTATATCCTTTATTTGAGACTTATGCGTACATGAAACCTGAAAGCAAAATTAGTCTTTTAGTATATCCTTTATTTGAGACTTATAGCATGTCATTTATTTGAGACTCATGCATGTCCTATATTTGAGACTCATGTAAACTAAAAACTCCTAGTGTATCCTTCATTTGAGTCTTGCGTCTTTATTTGAGACCTGCGTGTACATAAATAAACATTGCGTCTGCGAAGAGAATAGTAGTGTAGTTGTGATTATTGCCTTTTTATCATTTGAGCTACAGCCCCTCGCTCAGAAACAATTACAGTTAAACTTGTTAAACCGTCTTAGGTATAGAGGTTATCCCCGCAGCCAAACAGGGGGAGCAACTGTAGGGTCTTTACCCGGAGAGGACACGGAACAGAAGGCCTGGGAAGAGTCTGAGTCCACACAAACTGCGATCTCTGTCTCCCCCTCTCCTACGAGTCTCCCGCTCTGTTTACGTTGGTCTGTAACTGGAAGTAACTGCGAAGCCGAATGGCGGAAGCTAAAGAGTCCACGTCGAGTCCGCTGGCGCAAGCCGACTCTGAAGATGTTCCCAAGTCTCCTCCAAGCTCCCCCAACTCCTCCACTCGCGAGGTCTGTCTGTCTATTACTTTGTCAACCCTCAACCTCTCTATCACTATACAAAAATATCTTCCCAATTTGGAAATCTATGAAGTTTGGGGATTTAATTAGAGTGAGAAAAATTGATTGTGAATTTGAACAACCATAATGAGTTTATGTTTATGTATTTATGTTAGTGGAACTTGGCTGATCTCTTAATTGTTCTTCCTGTTTGTGAAGTTAATAGTTGAATGCTGAATTTTTCCTAATTAGCTTTTGGAGGCTCTGGAGCTATGAGATGCTTGGAGAAAGATAGAGAAATTAGGGGCTCTGTATAAAACATGGGTATAATTACTTGGGTAGCTCCCTTTGAGGTTGTTATGATGGTAAAAGATTACCATAAACAAGAATGGATGTCAATACACAAAGCTCATTTTGAGCTCAAAATAAACTAGAAATGATAGTCTTTGAGCAATGGATCTGCAGAGCACCTCAAAATATAAAGAAGCATCGCTAATTTCTCCATACTCGTTCCAAGCTTGAAGTACCGTTTGTGCAAATATATTATGTTCTGAGAACCTTTAAAGATAATAAATTAAAAACTAAAACCAAAATGTTAACAAATTATGGTGCAAAGTAGGTTTTGTATCAAGTGGTTTCGGGCACTTATGTTAGTCTTTTCCTGCATCTAGTCCTATTTACAGTCATTATTTACTGAAATTCTCTCTCTCTCTCTCTCTCTCTCTCTCTCTCATGGACAAGTCATTCATGCTGGAGACATTAGCTACTGCAGAGCACTACCCTGTTGGTTCTGTTAGTGCAAGAGAATTTTTTTTTATTGAGTTATTTTGTTTATTATTTGGCAATGCATATAGCTTACAAAACAATTCTTGTTCCTGCTGTACTGCTTTGACCCTTGAATTTCATCAGGCATGCTATGCAGTGCTCCAGAGTTGGGTCTCAAAGAAATTCATGACCGGATGGTAATGAGCATAATTTGGGTCTGATTGTTTTTTCTTGCATTTGTTTTCTCCTCTAGCTTTTTCATGATTTTATGATTCGTATATCTCGTTTGATTGTAACAATGTTAGGTTGAATTGTAAAATTGCAGCATGGTTCTCTTTCCTGTCGCTGTTACATTCTTCATCACTTGGTGGTTTGTTCAGTTTGTGGATGGTTTCTTCAGTCCAATATATGCCAGGCTTGGGGTTAGCATATTTGGTATGACTCAAAAGCACCAAATTGATGTTTACTTTGGGTATGCAATGACTAATTCTTAATGAAGTTGAAAGTGATGTGTGCATTGCTGTGAAAAGTTCTGAAAAAATTCATAATAATAATCACCAGTCTGGCTCTGACCAGGATGTTCTGTCTTTCTTAAAGACAAGCGCATTGAGAAAACCTTACTTTTACTCAGTTTCTTAAACATTGATCCAATTTATTGGCATGGTTGATTGTTTTACAGTGTACAATGATCATTTTGAGCTTAGACTTGAGTTTTCTAGTCTCAGATTGGTTAGTCGCATTGATTTAAGCCTGAAATTGGATACTTCAAACCTAAAATTGAAGCTCTACATGACCATTCTATACCCTAAATAGTCAACCTGTCATTAAATGGGATCAAAGTTGAAGAAAATTGAGTATAAGTGAGGTTTTCTCAACATTTCCATCTTTAAGAAAGACAGGGCGTCTTACAAATAATTTCTGTAATAATCAACTGCCAATTATAATAAGAAATTTTCAAGCGAATGCTGTTTGCTGCTTCTTACCTGCATATGTTTTTGCATGTCTTGAATTTCTAGTAATACTTTTGAACCAAAAAAGAAAAGAAAAGAATAAATTCTAGTAATACTATATGGATTGTAGTTGAATAGATTTTTTGGAAGTATCCAAGTAGTTCAAGTTGCAATCACCATCCAAATTTGATATGGAGGGAGCTGGATAAACAAATATTAGTATGGGAGAACGAGGAAGAAAAGTAGATGAAGGTCATTACCATATTTGGGGTAACCGTTTTAGTGGTGGCAAAGCATAGATTATTACTTCTTAATGTAGGGAAAATTTATATAAAGAGGACTACCTTTAATCTTTTTGGTTATATCTGAAGTTTCAAAGTGTTCTAAGCAGAAATCATATCTGAAGTATAAGTTCATACTGAGTTCTTCTGGATAATATAATTAATTGTTCGTCAATTTCATCATGAGTGGTTAATTGCCAGATCTCTGAGCAGAAATCATATGTTTTTGTATGCTTCAACATTGAATACTTCTTTTTTTTATTGTTGCAGGCCTGGGATTTGTCACATCCCTTGCCTTTATATTCTTAGTTGGTATATTTGCTTCATCATGGATGGGTGCAACAGTTTTCTGGATTGGGGAATGGTTCATAAAACGAATGCCCTTTATGAAGCACATATACTCAGCCTCCAAACAAATTAGCTCTGCAATCTCTCCAGGTAATTGCCGCTATTTCATAATCTTGGTCCTTTTTTTTACCTCTTTGTAAACTGTTTGCATGGCTGCGTCCTTATTATCTTAGGTTTTATGTTTTCTCTTATCAAATCTGGGGCTATAAAGGAGCCAAGCCACTTGCAAGCATGTAGGTCTCACATGAGTTGAGGCTAGACCTGAGCTGAAATTTTTAACAAATGAATCAAGCCAAGCTTAGTTTCCGGCTAGTTGAAACAACAAGCCAAGCCCAGAAATTGGTTGGTTGGTTTATTAGGCTCACCAACCTATCTAAAATGTCTCTTGGTGTGATTTTAGTTTAGGTCAAGCCACTAGGAACGTATACCATATAAGGCTCTTGGTAAATTCTGTTGTTTGATTTTGACTCACTTCTTATGTGGGCTTCCATTACGCTGTTTGGTTTAAGTTGAATAATGGCATGAACGTGAAATATAATTCCCCTATTTGAAGTAAACTACTGACCCGTATTGTTGCCATTGTAAACCAAAAGTTAAGTGATGAGCACACACATGCAATGGCCTTCCACTTCCAGGAAAATTGTTTTATTTTATACCATTTGGTGCTATCTAGGTTGAATATTTCCTGTCCTGAGCTAGTGGAAGTTTCTGGTGCCCTGTCTCTTGTGAGTGGATGCTATGGTGCATGTTATAATTGGTGTATTTCTGACATGGAATTCATTCAATGTTTGTCTATTATTTTTCTCCATTTTAGATTTAATGGTCAGAAATAATTCTCTCTCTCTTTGTGACAGACCAAAATACCACTGCATTTAAAGAGGTTGCAATTATCCGTCATCCTCGGCTTGGTGAATACGCATTCGGTTTTATCACATCATCTGTAACCCTTCAGGTATGTTTCAATATTCTATTTATTAAAATGTTTGGTTTGGATTTGGAAGAAGCAGATTTAGTTTGTATGTTAGATTGTTTTGTCCCAAGTTCTACCTTGCTGAGTTGTTTTCTACTTAATTTTAGAACCAGATTATGGCTTATATTGTTTGTTAATGAATGGGTGAGGAATAACTATCATAACAGCTATTACCGGATTCCCTCCAAAACCAGGTTGGAGGGATGATGTACCTTTTGGACGTTGGTTTAGTTTATATTGGATTTTCTTATAATGACCATGTACCTTTTGGATCTGATTATTGGTGGTTTGACTACAGAGGGATGATGGAGATGAGGAGTTGTGTAGTGTTTATGTCCCAACAAACCATCTATACATTGGCGATATTTTTCTTGTCAATTCTGAAGAGATCATACGGCCAAATTTGTCCGTGCGGGAAGGGATAGGTTTGTTTCCTCTTTCGTGTGGATGCACCATATATTATATATATGTTTCAGTCATGGACGCGATCGTTTCGCATACAATCTGTTTTACCTTGTGAGTTTTCTAAAAGTTATAGACGACAAGAGAAAATGGGTCCCTAATATAATAGCTCCTGGAGATGTATGAGAACCTGTATACATTATAACCGGGGAATCCTATGTTTAACGTTAATGGGCCAGTGCAACAGCTAATGTGGTTTATGCAAAAGTAAAACAAAAAGATTAATGGTTCTTCAGCAAAGAAAGAAACAAATAAAGGTTGATGGATAAAGATTTATTGGCTATGATTTTCGGATGTTCTACAGGTTTAGCAGACGCGCTTCTAATTCTGGTAATAAAGTAGCATACAGAATTAACCTAAACAGGAATAAAGTTGACAAAACTCATAGCTTTAGCTCAAGTGGCATTCTGTGGGACGAGCAACCCAGGTTTTAGATTCAAGTCTTGATGTAAGCGAAAGAATGTCCTATTAGTTCTTGTGGAAAGAGTTCAAGTTTGATTTCATAAAAACCCCTGTTTATGGAGCTCTCAGTTTCTTCAAATACAAGGATGCCAAATCCTGGCTAAGCTTTTGTCTGTCTCCTCGTGATTGTGCACTAAGACTCTGGCTTCACCTTGTTTTTGTTGGAGGCTTGGCAATGAAAACTGCTATTCTTAGTGGCTGTTAAATAAAGAACTAACTACCATTTATTTAATACCAATTGAGGAAGAAAATGTTGTCCACTCGAAACTTTTTGCATAGACTAGTATGATACAAATATTATTTAACTTGTCCTGTTTATACTGTATGCATATACATATATATAGACTAATACAAAATTGAACACTTCAAACACTTATTAGATTCTGATTTATGTTTCAAAAGGTTTGATATGTTTATATGTTCAGTGTTTTCTTTTTTATATTTCCGAAGTGTTCGCATTAACGGATTAGTTGAAATGCACCCTCAATTTTAAATCTTGATCCTTGGTGAACTATACAAAACTTAGATTGACAATTTAATGAAAACACGTGAATAAGCACTGATGCCTATCTATATAATTGACAGAGATTTCCTAAGTGGCATTAAGTATATTGAGAAAATAGCTTGGCTTTTATGGAATTAGGTCACTGAGGGACAACAAATCATAAGAAGTTTGGTCGAAATAGTTTTGAATTTTTACTGGGTTGTCAGTGTAAGTATTATGATGTATGAGTCTGTTTCCTCATATTCTGGTGTTTCATCAAAAGCCAATTGTTCCATGGAAGTTCCTTGATGGCTCTTTCAGATAGAAATAGTTCTCTTTGTTGGTCAAGTGTTTAAAGAGGTAGATGTAAATTGAAAAGTAATCAGTTTAAGGTGTTGTATGCTAGAAAATAAACATAAATAATAATTGCATTCTTGGTCCTTTATCCTTGATTTGATTCAGTGGAGGAAATTTCGGTTTCAGGTATTTTGCTGTATATTAAACATGGCTTTGTATTTCAATGTGATTGAATGCTTTTTCACACAGATCCCATTACTTGGTGGATTTTGTCTTTGCACAGCTTGCCATTATGCTTGATTTTGCATTTACTGAATCCTTTCACTTCTTCGGGTGAAAAACAAAATTAATTTTACTTGGCAGTTAACTACAGATGATTGCGATTAGTATATTTTTTTTCCTAGTTTTGAAGAAATCTTCAAGACCTTTTTGTTGAGTAGCACTTGTGGCAAATGGTTTATTATTGCATAATGGTTTGACAATATTTCTCCCTGAAATGCAGAGATCATAATTTCAGTCGGTATGACGATGCCACAGGTGATATCTCCAATTGAAAGGATTCCTCCTCGTCAAAATGATAGGATACCGTTGAACAGAATGGTGTCCCTGTAAAAACGAATGATCTGGAGGCTTATAGGGCAGGTGCAGACGCACACAATATGGTGTTTCTGATATGGATCCCAGCAGTTGTGCGTGATAAGATAGAATACTGATAGACATGAGAAAAGCTAGAGTACCGTGAGACCTGAGGAACTTTAAGTTGTTCTTTGATTCTTGGCTGGGGTTTCCAATCGAATTTCGTTCCTGCCATTGTATGTGTTATGTAGGTTACCTAATGTTGTATGTTGAGCACTTTTTTTCAATGCTATGATGTATATTCAGTGTATTTTCTCTTTATTTCTTTGTTTTTTTTTCTGTGTAAAGGGAATATACAGCTGCAGCACTGCTGTTATATGTTTATTACTCTGCCCCTCAAAGTTCCATCTAAATTACTCTGGTCCGGTTGACTTTACATTGAATTGATGCCATATCTTCTTCAGCTGGTAGTGTTTGATAGAAATAACTAAAACTATTTCTGGAGAAGCATTCAAGAAGCACTTTCAAGTGCTTTGAATTGAAGCTTAGATTTTAACAAAGATTTGGTAATAAAAGCGCCTTTACAAGCGAAAGCGCATGCAATGAGCTCAGGCTCTATCCGTGAAAAATACGAGGCGATTAATTCTTGTAAGAAACTTTGTGCATAATTACCAATCAGCTGGAGTAGCTCAGCTGGTTAGAGCGTGTGGCTGTTAACCACAAGGTCGAAGGTTCAATCCCTTCCTCTAGCGATATGTTCTAATATTTCATTCATTTTTTTCTTTTGCTTAAAACAGTTTTTACTGCTTTGTCTTTTGCTGTTTATTTTCCTCTTACTAGTTTAGCCATTTGGTGGCTGAACAAGCTGCTCTGCCATTATTACTGAGGTTGCGTTGCATCCAAACCTTCGGCATGTTTACTTACCATTACTTGTAAATAAACGTGCAGTTAATCCAATTTGATGTCACTTTGTAATATATTTAGATGTTTGACGTGGGTCTCAAAAGTCCTATTTATACCTTAAGGGCTTGTTTGGTCGCTAGTATTGGATTGGATATAATAACTCTCTATATTTCAAGCATGTTAAAGGAATAAATGAAAAGACACTGTCTTCAATGACATGCAGCCGGGAGCTCCGGTAAAGACTGAAGCTCTGTTTGATGCTTGCAGGTATGCTCTCAATCATGCTTCCAGTTAGATCTAACTTTATCAATGAGCTTAAGCAAATGAGGCGATCGGGTATTTCTAATATACCGCTGTAACTGAGGTCTAGGTCTTCTAAACAGCTCAAACCGACTGAGAAGGGAGGCAACTTTTGTGAAGTTTCAAACAGCCACCAAGCTTGAGTCTCAAGACGGTTTAAATTGTAGATGCTGTTGGGACAAAATCAAGGTTTTTGCACCCAGGGAGCTCTAATGTCATCAGGCGGGATAGATTTCGGATTGAAGAGGGTAGCTTTTTAACTGCTGTTCTTGCCAAACTAAGAGAGTGCAGTTCTTTCATAGGCTCCAAGATTTCTGGGAAGTATTCTAATGCAGTGCAATCAGTGAGACGTAGACTCCCAAGACATTTCAACTTACAAATTGTCACTGGGAGAGTCACAAGCCTTTTGCAGTTTTTCAATTCAATAGAGGTGAGACTAAAGAGACGCTCGATTGATGAGGGCAATACCTCTATTGCTGATCCACTCAAATCTAACCTTGTCATATTGGAGGGAAGCTCCGTAAAGTTGACAAGAGATGAGCAGCCTTGTAGAGTAAAATCACTGGAGCATTTTAGCTTACAACTGTTGCTTGGAAGGTTCTTAAGATGCAGACAATGTCCAATATGATGGACATCAAGTTTTTCACTAGACCAAACTGATGAAGGCAATTCCTCTATGCAGTCCAAGCTAACATTAAAGTTTCCATATTGCATGGCATGTCCGGAAGATATTTGAGTTTCGTACAGAACCTAAGTTCAAGAGAAGTAAGCTTGTCCATATATTGAAAATAACAAGGAATTTGAACAAAACTTGTACATAACAAAAGATTTATACTCTCAATTTGGTGACTCAGAGAGATCAGGAACTACAGTCAAATGCTCGACTTGGCTGTGGGGCATCCGAAGCTCAAGAAGATTTTCTGGAAAAATCTTTGATGGCAAAGTTTTCAAAGGGTATCCCTCCCAGTGAAGATAACGAAAAGTATTGGGAAGATACTGAAGACCTTGAGAAAGGTATAATTTGCAGTAATTGTCATTGCTAGAATTATATATCTTCAGCAATCTTAGATGGTGCATCTTTTTGAAGGCTTTACGACTCAAGTGTAGCTCTTTAATCTCAGATATGTTAAAGAATATGACTTGAACTTTTTGCTGTTCCCTGACAACCAAGAGCAAAGTATAAATGAGAATACAACATACAATGAAATTTGAATCACTGAAAAATACATTTTTAGACATACGTGACCTGTTCATCATGTCTTCTCACAGCAAGTTCATATTTTCTTCCCATCTTATTTTCCAATACATGTTTGACATCCTCAGCAATCCACAACCTGCTGCATTTTCCTGGATTTTCAATACATTGTTCACGAACAATTGCTTGACCCATTTCTTGTAGCAAATTATGCATCTCTAGGCAGTTACGTTCTGAAATTGATATGAGAGACATATCAATGAGAACTCTAATTCCTGTCTGAAAGCAACCATGAACATCTGACATTCTTTTTGCATATAAATCAACATCCATCCCTTTATAAAAGCATGCTATATCAAGAAATATCTCCTTCTCATTTTCTTCTAATCCATCATAACTTAGTCTCAACACATTCTGAATTTCTTTTCTTGGAAATTTTTTCAATTTGTTCAATTCATCTTCCCAATCTTCTTTGCTCTTGCAATGAAGGAACGAGGAACCCAAAATTTTAAGAGCTAATGGATTGCCATCAGCATAATCTAAAACCACTTTCGACAACTCTGCATAATTTGTTGCAGGAGAGTTACCTTTGAAAGCATTCAAATGTAAGAGCTGAAGAGCCTCATCAAAACATAATCTCTTAATCTTATGTATATTCTCATCATCAACCCTTTCCTTAAGTAGGCGCCTATCTCTAGCTGTAATGGTAATTCTACTTCTGGGGCCAAACTGGTCCTGATCTCCAGCTAAAAGTTCTAGTTGGTTTAGATTGTTCACGTCATCGAGGACAATGAGGACCTTTGTACGGGCAAGCCTCTCTCCAACAAAATTTGATCCCACAGATGGAGTCTCAATGTTTAGATTTTCTTCCTCTAATAACATACGAAGATGTTTATTTCGCAACTGATTTAGTCCATGACTTTCTGATTCCTCCCTTACATTTGCAAGAAAAAAACAAGCCTCGAACTTAGTAGAGAGTCTGTTAAACACAGCACCGGCAAGGGTGGTCTTGCCAATACCAGGCATGCCCCAAATACCTACATAGCAAAGATCTCGTGAATCAATGCACAATAACGATTCAATTTGCTCAATTTTTCTTTCAATTCCAACCAGGCCCTTTAAATCACATGACGATTTCCGATCCAATTTGGTTAAAATATCTTTCACAACTTTATTAACTAAAAGGTTCTCCCTCCTGTCAATATATGATTATGAAGGACAAACAATAATTAGTAAGTCTGCCATCTTGTATTAATAATAAATATAACGGTCACAAGTGAAAATTAAGACAATTAACGGAGTTAGTTACCAAGTTCCTTTTGAATTGACTGGCTGCTTTCGTCAAAGCATCGTTCCAATTGAGCACCTTGTCGATACTGTCCTTGAAACGTTCTTCAAGTTGAGCAAAGGCATCTGCATAACTCCCCTGCTGTTTTCTTACATCTGATGGATCGATGCCCTAAAAGATCGGCATAACAATCTGTCCATATTTTTCCATGCATCCCAGTATATGCAAAAGCTCATTCAAACACCATATGGAAGAAGCATAGTTCTTCGAGAAAATGATCACCGAAAGCTTTGATTTTTCGATTGCTTCAAGAAGGGCAGGTCCAATTTCGTCTCCTCTCTCAAGTTTATAATCTATGTAGGTCACAATTTTCTTCCGAAGTAAAGCAGCATGAAGATGGCTGGTAAAGATATTGCGGGTGTCAACTGAAACTAAGAAACACATCGTACTTTTCTTGAGGAGGGATAGCAGCAGCAGCCGAACAAGAAGCAGCCATACTCATGACCTACAAATCTACGCATACTGACAAACACATTATATATATTCAAAACGAGAAGAAGCACATTAGCGAAGCTAGCTTATAATGGCTTAATTATTATACTTAAATAGAAATATCAGACCAAAAAATCTGCACACATTAACCATTTCTTTATAATAGAGATGAAACTAGCACTTCATAAGGCAATAAGTCAGAGACATTACCAACTACAAGGTGGATATAAATCAGTGGGATCACCTCCAGAGCAAGAAAGACGTTGCAGACACAGATTAATTGCCTTAATTCGGAATGCTTGATTTGATCCGAAGAAAAATACATATCCAAACTTCATTTCTTATGGTTAAATTTGATAAAATAATGCAGAAAGTACAAAAGCTCCAGGAAATTCATGGCAGGTTCTTTGACTACTTGTTATCCGGGAACATGACCGACAAGCCACTGAATTGGCCTCCCATCAGGCTTTAAATTTTTTGTTTAAGAAAAGGAAATGAGATGGGAGTGTAAACTAATGAATTCCATGCACTCTTGCAGCGTGAAATCCTGTTCTATAATAAACTAAACTAAAATAAATGGAAAACTCAGACTCAAGCTGGAGTTCTTTTTTTTTTCTTTACAAAAAAAAAAAAAAAAAAAAGTAGTTTGAACAATTAGTCAAAGAACCCAATACAATATAAAGAACACAAAAGGAAAACAAATAAATAATAAATAAGAGTGATATCAGGCTTTTGTCATAAATAAAAAAAAGGTGTGAATGAAGAACTTTTACCTGCAGACTTTTGCAACAGCAAGAAAAAAAAAGTCCATAAGAATATTATGTATATAGTACGAGTAACTTTAGTATGGTACAAATCCAGTGAAAATGATGTGCAGATACATTCTGTTGCTCGTTCTCAGAGGTTTCTTATACAAGCATTCGTGAAATCCGCTTTTCATGTCTACCGCACTTTCTACAAAATAAAATTCTAATTTTCATATAGATCTTCTATTTACGTTCAAAATTGTGCAGAGGTCGGAGCAATTAGAATTTAACAAGCTCGTAGGTTATTTTGAACATAAGCACAATATTAACTTTAAAAACAAAACGATCCAAACTCAAGTTTTACACCCTGTGTCATAAATCATGGCTAATAAACAAGGGAGTTGATTTTGGCACTTCAAATATCATGCATCACACTCCTCTACCCTCTCACACAAGCATTCATAATCGTTGTAACCTTTCCCGACAACAGTATCAAGCAAGCTGCAAGAAAGCGAGTCATGGATTATGTAGCTACATCTTTTTTTTCCTTTCGTCTGTGCAATTCGTTATACATGTAAAAAGAAAGGAATGAACCTTTATTAGTGCAGAACAGAAATGGTCTATACATTGAATTTTTCTGTTCCTTCTTCTTTCTTGTTGCACCATTTAATTTTCTTTGAAGAACAAATCAGTTATCTCCCTCGTCTAGCCGTTGGAGGCAGTTTCTCAGATGGACCACATGGAAGCTTTTGTCCAGTCTCCTTCTCAATCCTTCTCTTGAGCTCTCTAAGTATTCTAATTTGCCCGAGCTTCTCAGGGGACAATTTGTCCCAGTAAATCCCTATACTCATAGAAATATTGGTATTAAGAATATCATCTAGTACTGTAAGACGGTACTCTGACTAACCAATCCCATCATAAAATGGTACAAATTACAAATATCAAGGGAAGTTAGGATATGTACTCAACTAACTCTTCAAGGAAAACTATTTTCCCAGAGAAAGGAAAAAGAAAATTAAGCAAATTGCAGAAGTTCACCAACCTTGAGGCTTTGGAATTGATGTGTTGGTAAATATGACCTGGGTTGGAGTGCATATGATGTCCACTGGTACATCATGGACTAACAGCTTCTCAATCGGAATATCATCTACCAATTGACTGTCATGCACTGCAAGAAATTTCGCATTTCACATATGATGTAAACAGAAAAAGTAACCAAAGTAATATTTAGAAGAAAAGGAAGAACCCAATTGACGAACTAAAGACGACAGAACAAAAGTTGAAACATGAAAAGTAATATTCAAATGCAAACCTTTCATGTCCCCTGCCCAAAGGATGGAATAGGCATGCAAACACACACAAATTAACTCCTCTTGAACCAGATAAAAGAAACACAAGGATTAGCAGAAAAGAAACCACACTTACCCGTAGTGACAACTGGTGTTGAGTCATCAATGGCTCCCATGAATCGCAGCATCCCATATTCAAGTTCTGCAAATCCCTGCACCAACTTTATCATTAAACAAAAGACTTGACTAAGTTTTACCCACTTCCTGAATATGTCAATGACTCAATAATGACACTACCCAAGACAAAATTTCAAATTGAACAAGCTTAAACTTCACATATAAAAACCGTCTCTTATTTGTACTCCATAAAATGAGTTAATGACATTTAAATACTAACCAAACTTTTTCTAGGATTAGAGGTCTGAATCACTATTCATTTCACTTTTTGATAACAAATCCTCGTCCATTTAGTTAGAGTGATAAAGCAACCTGACATTGCGTCCAGAACCAAAATGCTGTAAGAAAGTACGGCTAGGACAAACAAACAAGATGCCTGCAGTAATGAGTTGTAGTATGCGTTTCTAAGAAAGTATGACAAGGGTAAGCAAACACTTTCCATAGTATGATTACCTCACCCTTGCCAAGTCGAGCGCCTGTCCTTGGATCAACAGCAACTGAGCCGATGACAATAAGATCAACCTTGATTTTCTCGTCTAATCCAATCGCCCGCCCATACTTGGCGACCCCAACAGAGGTGCAAGCCTCTTTGATTGTACTAGGAGTCAACATATGGGATTCAAGAATGGAGAAAAACCCAGTCCTTAAACGGGGTTGCGGAGTTAACAACTTCTTCTCACCTGCACAAAATCAAGGGTCTTAAATTGGATTTTGAAGTGAAGAACAGTAGGCATTACTGGTTCCTGGTGCACATAGAAACAATTTTCAATTTTCATAAAATATTAATACAACTCATAATTCATTTGTACAACCATCCTTCAAGGTTCTTTGAGCCAAGTTTTAACTGAGTGGTGACATATAATCCGGTGTTGTTAGAAGTATGTCTATCATATTGTGCTTATTCAAGCAGTTAACTGTCAATTGTTCCAAATGTACTTTTGGCTTATAAGATGCAAACATATGATTTTATCTACCGCCGTTTCAACTTCCAAAACATTGTAAAATCCACAAACGTATGATAGTCCATAAGCAAAATGGGGTATATGAATCATGGGTAAACCATACTATCGATCAACACAGGTTTCAGGTAGAACCATGTTTGCAAGTGGCCCAAATAATCTTGTGCAAGATTAACATATATACATTTATAATATATTTTTCAAGTGAAACTACCTTTTAGAACTCCTCTTGTAAGTTGTATTGTATATATCTGGGTTGCAACCTCTTGGTGCCATTTTAATACATTTTCTTACATATATTTATATGATTTCACGAAAATTAATATACAATTACTATTTTTTTTTAACAAAGCAAACTTGGGTTGCAAGGGGCCGAGCACACTGCATTCGTCAACTCGCTTAACTCACATTTCCATACAATTACTATATTAACCGCATGAATACGTAGGCACGTAAGTACTTAAACTAACCAGAGAGTGTGAGAAACCTGACTTGCTTCTGAGGTGAATCTGGATTAACCTTCACGCAATTCCCGACCCGAAACACTTCCAACCCACCCAACTGCCCAAATTCACATTATTTATTTTCTTAATTAAAACCCACATTATTAAAATAAAGAAAAACAATTATCTTTATATTTCTCAGCAACCCAAAAAATAAAAAATTCCGAAGAAAATAAAAAAAAATTCCGAAGTGCTCTTACTTTATCCGCAGCAGCTGCAGCGCCAACGAAGTTTGGGATGCGATGGTGAACAGGGCGCGGATTCTGGGCTATGTTCCGGGCCTCCATCATGTCCCAAATTCTCTTCCGGATCACCCATTTCCAAGCTTTCGGGTCTTCGGCAACCCCACTTTGCTGGGTCTCAATCTTCGAAGTCTCAGCCATTTCTTCTCGAGCCTTGGCGTCAAGGCTGAGCCGCTCGGCTTCGTAAGCCGCCTCGTCGAAAGTGACGTCGTTTCGGGGTCCGCTGCTACTGCCACTTCTCCGCATGAAGAGGTGTTTGCGAGAATTTGTTGGGAGGGAGAATGAAGAGAGAGAGTGGCGGCATTTCTGGGTTTTATTCAGGAGGTTGGGTAGGGGTCCAAGTGTAAATGGGGTTGAGTTTCGGAGCAGGCTTGAATCCATTAACGGCATTTCTGGCAACTGTCTCTTTGCTTGAGCCTTATAATTTGGTTTAATCTAATTGACGTGATAATAAATTTGACCGAAAAGAAAATGATTAAAAAAAATTGACAAAACGAAAATACATGACGATAAGAGGAGTATTTTTTAGAATTACACATATTTTTAGTATATTCCCAACCCCCATCAGATTGGAAGCCTTAATCTTAGAGCATCCACAGTGGGAGGTATATTTTCAGGGGGTGTAAAGCCACTTTTATATCCATTTACATCTCCAAGGGTTGTAAATGTGGTTTTTGCTCAAGTAGGGAAGATGTAAATCTAAAGATATATAATTGATTTTTTTTGTCTTGATTCGTTTTTGTGTTAAATTTTTATTTTATGTTAATTTTATAAAATTAATTTTTTGTATATTAAGTTAATTTTATTTTTTCAAACAAATAGACCTAAAAATATTTAAATTCGGAGAAGATATTATTCCATCCAAAATTGTAAAGTATATTTAATCTGAACCACTGGTATCTTATCACATTTTTACAGACAATTCAACATTCATTATTGTTTCTGATTTGCACACAATTCAAATTGGACCCTTTGTTGGACTTGTTGGACCATATTTCATTTTGAAAAAATTAAAGTTGTTGCCTAAATGTTGGTTGTTTGCTGTTTGCTGTTTTTGAAAATTAAAGTTGTTGGCTGTTGCAATTTAGCCGTTGGGGGAGAGATGACAACCAAAAAATGGGCCCACATATGAATTCTGGTCTAGCAAGTATTGTAACGTGCAAGTGAGTTTCATTTACTCACCCTAAACCCAAAATTTATTTATTTTTTTATTTTTTTCTTCATTCCATCTCATCTCTTTGTTCTCAGATATGGAGTCTCAAGGTAAGCACTTTTTCTTTCACTCTTTCTTGGTGGCTTCTACAGCAAGAGGAATTTTTAAATGGAGTCAGAATTCAATGGAATACAAAATTTATAAGCTTTCACTCTCTCTTGGTGTGTAATTCGCTTTTGAATTCAATGGAATACATAATTAATTCACCTAACTTCTTCCAAAATATTCTTAAGGTGTTGGGCTTTAGATTCATGCTATCAATGGTAGTACCTCATTGATTTTTGTTAATTTTCAAAAGAAATTCTTTCATTTTTGTCTTAACTTGAACTTTAATACACATTCTTTTTGGTGAATTTGTATGGGTGTTAGGTTTAAAAGGGTAACGAAATGACAATTGGGTTTTGAGCTATGGAAGTTCTAGGTATGTTGTTTATCTTCATATTGGTAGTATTTTGATGAGTCAGTTGTTCTTCTACGTTGTTATTGTGTTTGTTTGGATGGATATGTTTCTGTCACATGAATACTTTTGCATATTCAATCTTGTGTCTTATTCAGATTACTTAGATGGGTTTAATGATCTAGTTCTTCAATGCTATGTTTGTGAATTATCCTATGTAACATGTTAGGCTTATTTGATGTTATCTTTGATACTCTCAAAATAAAGTCTTGCACTTTCATTGGGTGAATTTTTTAAAGAAACAATCTATATTTATTTGAATTATCTAAATTATACAAAGTAATTGTCATGGTGTATTAATTTTTTTTAAATGCTCAAAAGTAGTTAAGTTGGGTCACACCAAAGCCTGATCCAATACAAAAATGATGATTGTATACATATACATAATATCCAGATTGCGTTTTTTTAAGTACAATGATAGATAGATTTCCATATTTGTTTATCACCTAGGTTATCAAGCTAATTCTATTTTCTGATAACATCGCTTCTGTTGTTCGTTTACTAACTATGACTATTGTCATATTTCAGTTAGATAAGAGAGAATTCATTAATTACTATGGATAAAAGTTGGACAAGTTTTCCAAGGTTTCTCCAATCTCTAAATCTATAGAACTTTAGAGGAATTATTAAATTTAGTATGTTAAAATAAATTTATTTATGTGTAGATTTAGTTATCAGTACCAAGATGGAGTGACAAAATTTATTGAGAATGCTAAACATTATGTAAGGAATCTTGATGTGGTGATATGTCCTTGCAAAGTTTGTAAAAACCTCTACTCTCAAACATATAACATGTTATATATGCACATGCTCAAGCGTGGTTTTGACCATCTATACAAGGTTTGGATCCTTCCTGGGGAACAAGCAAATACTTCAACACACGTTGAAGATTGGGAAACTCCTTCACAAACTGAAGATTATGAAATGTCAATGGTGCATAAGATTTACAATGATGCTTATATTACTTGTGATGGGGCTGGAAAGACAACACGTGAAAGTGTGGAGGACTATTACAAAAAGAAGTTGGATGAGGCCAAATTCCCTTGATATACAGGGTGTGCAAAATACACAAAGCTATTGACCACCACATACTTATACAAAATTAAAGCTATAAATGGCCTTACCGATAAGGGATTTAACGATTTTCTTGAGGCTATTAAGGATATGTTACTATATCCATATGTTCTTCCTGATTCTTTGTACACAATAAGGAAGTTTCTGAAAGATTTTGATTTGGGGTATAAATAGATTGGTGCATGTATTAATGATTGTTGCTTATTTAGAAAAGAACAAGAGCACATTGAGATTTGTCCTAAGTGTGGTGAGTCGCGATGGAAAGTAAACCCACAAACTAAGAAGACTTGGGTCGCCCACTTTTAAAGGGGCGTCTAATTCAACTTTCTATCGAAATGCTAAAAATTGTTCATCTTCATGTGTTGCTTAACAGTGCTGAAGTTGAACCATACATCAAGTAAGTTTGATAACCATATAACAACCCTTTATAGGTTTAGCAGTCATTAGTAACTTATAATATTAATCACTACCGGGTTCCTATTAGGATGCATAAGAATGAGTTATTGCTTTCAAATCGAACACTAACTACGATATCACAATTTGCTAGTTAAAAGACATTTGGAGACTTTTCATTGAATGGTTAAAATACGAGGTTAGAAATGATTTCTTAATCTAGCCTACTACAATAGATATAACAGCAGACATGCATATATTTTAAAAAGTCACGTATTGTGATTATACAAATTCCGTTGGATGGTGACACCAACATAGAGTTGAATACATTTCAATGGCTTGTAAATAGGCTTAGGCGTTATGCAATGTTCCACACTAGATATCTTATTAATTGAAAACGCTTTCATACCATTGAAGTTGATAACTCTACACGAGACTATGGTGTTTATCTTGAAATTGAGACTTTATGCAAATCTAATGCTAAGGATACAACACAAGTCACTGCAAACGTTGATTATTATGGGGTCATATGGGAGATTTTGTTGTTGGACTTTGTCAAATTTCGATTACCTATATTTCAATGTGACTAGGCCAACATTGTTAGTGGTGTCCAAAAAGAGGATGGCTTCACATTAGTGAACCTTCATAATGGTTTATGTAAATTCGAAAGAGATCCTTTCATTTCAGCATCTCATGCAAAGCAAGTCTTCTACTTTGGAGAAAGTGAAACCTCACATTGATATACAGTACTAAATGCACCACCAAGAGACTTTCATAACTTTGAGGAATTTGATAAGAGTGTTTATAAATCATATGCTCCACAAGATGCATCTTCCCTTAACATAGATGATATGTTCAATGCTGATAATTAATTGTTTGTATTCCATATATGAAATTAGTTTATTTTCTTATTGGTACTTGTGTTTGAACAAATTTTATTTTTGTTCATATTACTATGAGCTATATTTTTTATTTTATTTATTAAAGTAAGATCCTTGCATTTTTTTTTCCTGCTTTTAAGTTGTAATTCTATCAATTGCAATTACAATTAGTTTTTTTTAGTTAGAATGTGCTAATACTATTTTCTATTGAACTTATTGTGCTGACATGTTTTTTGTTGTTTTGATTGTGTTGGTTTTCTCTTACCATCCTATTAATAATTAGAAAACTGAACATGTTATGTTACTTTTTTATTTATCTTAAAAATGGCAGATTTACACTTAAGATGACATATTTTGTTAGAGGGAAGGAAAGACCTAGATGTGACTTGAGAGAAGGAGTTTGTTCTTCTAGAATAGTTGATGAGTGTTCTGAATCTACACCTCGGGAAGGAATTATTCTCCATTCTATGAACAAGGAAAAGAAGAAGAAAATAGGTCAAACAACATTTCAAGTTATTCTAACGGGAGAAAAATATCGCCAGAAAGTTGAGAGGAATGAATCTGGCCAACCTATTGGTGAAGTCTCGGTAAGGTTTAGTACAACCCTTGGGATTATAGTAAGGGAGTGTGTGCTCAAAAATCAAGCTTGGACTCTCTTGATGGTTATATAAGTCTTTCTTAATGTACATTTAGGTTATGAGGGATTTGAATATATGTTTTAATAGTTCTTGATTTGACACTACAGCAAAAATTCAAAGTGGAAGATTGTCATAAGAATTTTATCTTGTGAGTGATGGATAAGAATTTTATATAAATGATTAGATTTTTTTTTATAAAAAAAAACTTCAACGGTGTCTGACATTATGTCATAACAAATATTTCAATGATGTCTCATGAACGTCGTTACATTCAATGACATGGAGTCTGCATCATATAAAGTCCTAATATACAACATTAAATAGAACGTCATATTCTTCATGACACTTAAGTAATGTCATCAAAAATTCATTAATGACATTGGGGACACGACATCGAAAGTATAGGACGACAAACGGACTAAGTCATTGAAACTGCATTCTATGACGCGTAACAAAAGCCATGTTTTCAAAACAAGACTTCCATGACCCACCTTTTCAACGATGTGTGTTACGACATCTGATCCGCGTCATTAAATGCCTTCTATGACACAAATCAGACTTCGTGGAAAGGTTTTTATTTTATAGTGACCATTGTTAGTAGAGAATATATAATCAACCAAAGCTTTTAATTTAACATAGTGAGAAAACACTTCTTCTCAGAGTTTGAAGCAACATTATTAATTTCATTCTTCTTCAGGTTGGACTTGATTGCTTTTTTGGCAGAATTTTCATTAGAGTTCGATTTGGATTTGGTTTCAGTGTCTATTCCAAACAAGGTAGTGGACTAGTTATCTTCATCGTAAGTTTCACCATCATGTATTATTGTTGTAGCAAACGAAAATGACCCTGAGACAAAAACAGACAACGAAGGATTACTGGGGGATGGCAGCGTTGCCAAGAAGACGAAGAAAAAGAATGCAGTAAAGGAGGCAGTACCTAAAACTTCTAAGGGCGTTAATGATGCTTATGATCAAGTTGTTGCGAAGAAATAGCAGCAAATCAATAAGAAGAAAAAGAAGAAGAATTGGCTTTCCATTACTGATCATGACCATACCCTTTATACTTCTAATGTTAATAACACTAATACAGGTATTGAAAGAAATGGAGTTAAAGAAAAGATGAAAACAAGCAACGACAAGGCGGTCATGAGAAAGTGGAGGATGAGAAGAAAAAGAAGAAACATGAGGGTGGGTTTGTTGGTGTAATGAAAGCTTGTGAGAGGTACTACGCAAGTCATGTATTAGATTGGAAATGACTTACAAATGAAAGAATAGTTAAGTTTGGGAAGATGTGGGTGAAACTCAAAGGTGCAAAATCTATTATGTGGTAAAAGACGAGTTTTATATGATGTGAGTGTTAGTACTAGTATATTCAACCATTGTTAGTAGATATCATATATTCAATCAAAGCTTTGAATTTAATAAAGTGAGAAAACACTTCTTCTCAAAATTTGAAGCAACATTATTAGTTTCATTTTTCTTGTGCTTGGACTTGATTGCCAAGAAAACGAAGAAAACGAAGAAAAATAAGATGGTAAATGAGCAGTACTTGAAAATTCTAAGGATGCTAATGTTTTTGGTGATCAAGTTATTCAGAAGAAGTAGAAGCAAATCAAAATAAAGGCCAAGAAGAAGAAGAAAAAGAATTGGGGTCCACTACTAATCATGACCATACTACCCCTTATACTACTAATGTTAATAACACTAACGCAGGTATTGAAGGAAATGGAACATGAGAAAAGATGTAAACATGCGAAGACAGTGGTGGTCATGGGAAACTAGAGGAGGAGAAGAAAAAAGAAAAAGAAACATGAGGGTGACTTTGTTGGTATTATTGAAGATTATGAGAAGTACTAAGCAAGTCATGTATTGGATGAGAGGTGGCTTACAAATGAAAGAATAGTCAAGTTTGAGAAGATGTATGTGAAATTCAAAGATGCAAAATCTATTATGTGTTGAAAAATGAGTTATTTATGATGTGAGTGTTAGTGTTGGAATTTTAAAAGGTTTTAAAAATTTAACCATTTTATTTATTTAATTATTTTGAATGTTTTATTTTATTTATTGTGGGGTTATAAATATTTAATATTCAAGTTTTATTTCTGGTTGGTGAATGCCTTAATTTTTTGGTTGGTGAAATTTATGATTGGTGAAGGTTACATGTTTTGGATGCTTATAAAAGGTCACTCCTCCTTCACATTTGAAACACACACAATACACTATTAGAATATCACATACCACATTCTGATTCTCTCCTTTTTCTACTTTTACATATATTCTCTACTTTATATTATTATTATTTGAGTGGCATTTTTATTCCACATTTCTATACCACATGATGTGGCATGTCCATATTATATGTCACATCAATTAAATCAATGAAGTGTATTTTAATTAAGACAATTAGAAAAACAAATACTGGAATAAATCATAAAAGAAAAAGAAAATATTAAATAATTTTAATTGATGTGGCTGGCTACCTCAGTTGCCACATAAGATGGTATAGGAATGTGGTATACAAATGTAGTAAGAGTAGCATTATTCTTATTATTTTGGGCAATGGTTATGTGACTTGGATCCCTATAGCCGTCTATGAACGTGCTCATAGCGGATCTTGAGTTTGTGTACAAGGGGTCGTATCTTGGAGTCTTGTAGCATGTAGGGAGGCTACAAAGGCTTTAGGACAGCGTCTTTGACGTGCTTCACCGTACCAAACTCACTTTCTTACTTATTATTTATTTTGTTTTACTTACCTATTATTTTGTTTTCTTCAATTTCATTGTACCTTAAAAGCTTTCCAATTTGTTTATAAGTTATTTATAATATAAAGGTTTTGTATTTGGCTTTACAGAAAAGGAAAACTATTATTTTTTATAACAGTTAGCACTAATATATTCAACCAAAGCTTTCAAGTTAACAAAGTGATAAAACATTTCTTCTCGAAGTTTGAAGCAACATTATTAGTTTCGTTTTTCTTGTGGTTGGACTTGATTGGCAAGAAGACGAAGAAAAAGAATACTGTAAAGGAAGCAGTATCCAAAACTTCTAAGGATGCTAATGATGCTGGTGATGAAGTTGTTCAAAAGAAGCAGCAGCAGCAGCAGCAAATCAATATCAAGGCCAAGAAGAAGAAGAAGAAGAATTCGGTTTCCACTACTGATCATGATCATATTACCCTTTATACTTCTAATGTTAATAATAGTAATGCAGGTATTGAAGGAAATGGAGCCAAAGAGATGATGAAAACAAGCAAATACAGTGCTGGTCATGGGAAAGTAGAGGAAGAGAAGAAAAAGAAAAAGAAAAAGAAACATGAGGGTGACTTTGTTTGTGTGATGGAAGCTTGTGGGAGGTACTTAGCAAGTCATGTATTGGATTGGAGGTGGCTTACAAATGAAAGAATAGTCAAGGTTGATAAAATGCGAGTGAAACTTAGTGATGTTGTTTGTGCCTAATAAAACACGGTCATGAACTGATTAAAGGGACTTCCCTTCGGCCCTGGCGCTTGCCGTTTCGTCAAGCATTTCGCCCTCCTAAGAGCAAAAGAAAAGCTGCAAAGGCAGAACCCCCTCGGCCTCGCGACCGCAGTTTTGAAGGCCGAGGCCGAAGGCCGCAAAAGACACGGTCTGAAAAGTTGTGGTTGAATCGCCACGTGACCTCAGGGCCCCACGCTCCATTTAATGAAGTAATGCCTCTGACTTCGCAGCAAAACCCACTAGTCACAAGAAGCATTCAATGCACGAGGGAAGTGACTGAAGTCAGGATTTGGTGATGGGAATCAGGGTGGTTAAGCGCAGACATTCTCACAAGTAATCTTACGACTTAGGGTCAGATCATCAACCACCAGTTCAGGGCATTAAATGCGTTCCCACGGCCAAGGGGGCAGAACCCACGATCAGGGCGGTGGCCGAGATTTGCCGAGATTTATGGGGGTCACACCACCATGCTTCTCAACCCCAGACCACCATGCTTCACGATCCCAAATGCCGATTTGACTACCCACTTGCCCGGCCAGGCTCCACCACGCAGGTCTTGTCAACCTCGAATGTCCCTCCAGGACTCCTATAAATGCTAAGCTCATGACTACATTCAAAGGGTTCAAACACCAAAACCAAAAGCCTCCCACGGAGCAAATTATATTTTCCTGTAATGCACTTTTAATACCTTTATTTGCTTTCTTAGGAGTAGTGGTAGACTGTAAGGAAAATTCGTTCATCAATATATCATATGAACCTGAAGGCTGAGATTCGTTCCTCACTCGGTCACGATCGTTTGATTAGGAACACAAAACAGGCGCAACATTTAAACCATCTTCTACCCGAACCTCATCATCATCTCGACGCACGGTAGACCGTGCTGGCACGCCCGCGCACAACCGCACCATATCCATATATCTTGGAACACCTATATCGATATATTGTTCCTTCATATCGATATATCTTGGACAAGCACCATGGTCACTCAAAGGAAATACATTTTCTTTTGCATATGGTACTGATGTGTCCTTTAATCTCCTTCATGGATTCATAAAACAAAAAAAATGCTATGATTGACCAAACAAGTCAATTCAACAAGAACAAACATTTTGGTTATAAATTGGTTTATTCCAACCTTATTTATAGAAAGAAAAATTATGTATTAGACATAATTAACTTTATCAATTAGTATTTGAGACATTGGGTATTCTAGTTTGGGTTTTAATACCTAAGAAAGAATTGTTATTTTGGATTATGCCAAAGAGGATGCCCAGATTCGTTGGGCCTATCTAAATTATAGAGATAAAATACAATTTTACCCTTTTTAAAAAATACTTCAGCTATGACATTATTACTACCTTTAGTTGACGATAAAACCTAGAAGACTACAGGGATTTAGTACCTGAATAACTAAAGCTGTTAAAGGCAAAGATGGCGAACTGGCAGTAGCTCCTGCATAAAAAGCTTGTGCTAGCCTCTCAAAATCACTAGTTATCTGTACATCATCAAATCCTATATTGGAAACCAAGTGGCTGATATTTTCCCCCACCAAGCCTTGAAGGATTCTGTGAAGCCAAATTCGGGGTCGCGGGTCTGGAAGTTAAAAACTTTGACTAGCTCACGATTAAAGTTCACCACGGAATTTACCTCGCTTGCTTTCTTAAAAGATACTCTCCATGAGGAAAAATAGTTGTGGGAGTCAACCATGGGAGATTGAACACCCTGAATAAAACTCATCTAACGACCAACGGCAATAGGATAGTAAACTTTGCAACCGCAAGGATAATGGTTCCCTTTGTTTTATGCAAGGCCATAAGGAAGATCTTGATTGATTAAGATACTTGCCCAAAGTTCTTGTCATTCTTCCTTGGTCTCCAGTGTGGAGACGTTGGCAAGGTCCAAGGCCAAATAACCCGGGTAACGATGATCTAAGCACATGGATAAGTCACTAAGTGACCTTTGTGAACACCTATAGAAAAATCGAAAGCAATCCTCAACATGATGTTTGGGCAAGGGAAGGTTAGCAATTGATTTTCCTAGAAGTGAGTCACCTCGGAATGTGACGTTGGCTAGACCCAACTCCGGGAAGTAAACTTGGAGCCACAGCTGAAAAAGCCAAATCGGGCCTGAGGGGTTGCATGACATGAGTTTGGGCAAAACAATATCACGAAGGCATCTATAAAGGTAGGCTAGAAATATGGGACCCAAGACCACTGATTGGCCATCTGCAATAGCTTCAGCCAAAGGTTGGGCCTCTTTGGTGACTTGGCTAGATTTTGAGCAAGTCAAGAATTTGCATAGCCACATTTGAAGAAAGGCTACATGCTTTGTGTAAGATACACCATTTGTTGAACCTATCGGAACTCTAGAGGATGACTCGGTATAACCGAAATGGGTCTTGATCTAGTTGTTGAAATTCTTGTTGGGCTTGACATAGTCCGACTTCAAAAGCGGTTTCAAAAGGTCAGCCACTGAATAAACCGTGTGGACGAAGGCCGACGATAGTGGCCAGATCAAGTAGAGTGGGGGTCATCATCCCAAACTGTAACCTCATGCAGTTAACAGAGGATGACCAAAAACATAGGCCTGCAATGATGAGTGAGCGATCACAAGGAAAGTCTTCGGAGGCACAAAGAGCCAAAATATCATAAATCTCGTTTTTTTGTCAAGAAGTCTTCAGTTTTGGTTCCAAAGCTTTGTACCAATCATACCAAATTTTCTTAGGATCAACGTCGGCCTCTGGGTTGGGTTTCTTGGCTTTGGACTTCTTCTTAGCCACACAGTCAACCTCAGAAGTTTTGCATGGCCAACCTTTGAAAGGTCGAAGAGCTCCCCAAGTTGATTTCCAATCAAACTCTATGGTGAAAGGCGGAGGATCATCACTTTGTTCGGCCCAAATCCTCACCACTTCATCTGGAGGTTAAAGTGGGTGCAAAGGGCCAAGAACGTATCTTGGGACATCACCTTGTAATTTGATGGCGTGGGCTTCCTCGGGTTGTTGTTCACTTTCAGCCATAGCCTTTTTCAACTTGGCCAAGTGAGAGATGATGGACTTCAACTCTGGATCCATCCTACAAACACAAATATTATTTGAATCAAGAAAAATATAGTGGCAAAGAAACAAAAATTGCTACAGTGAAGCATGAAGTTGAAACATTCGGAGAAAACTAAAGAGTCGTAGGAATTTTGATTCACTTACCCTTTCACTAATCGAAGGCCAAGGAATCAAAAGGGCAATGTTTGGATATGGTCACCAAATTTCAGCCAAGTCAAATGGTCACCAAATTCCAGCCAAGTCAAATGGTCACCAAATTTCAGCCAAGTCAAGTGGTCTCAATTCCAACCAACTCGAGTGGTCCAAATTCCAGCTAAGTCAAGTGGGACTCAACTCCACAAGGTCTAGCCAAGTAAATAAATTATTATTTATAATGGCATTAAATAAATGAAAGACCAAGTAGGTTTGGTTTGGAATACATGCTTAGCCAATTGATCCAGAAAGTTTAGTTTCTCTCACCACTCACTTGCATGATCTAGAAATAGCAGGTCAAGAAGTTGATGCTCTTCTTCCCATATCTTCAAAGCTCAAGTTTTTCACTTGGGGTATAGCTATTGAAGTAAGTTTCGATGCTTGAGGATCCTTGGTTGGGAATCGTCATATATATATATATATATATATATATAGTTAGGGTGATATTTGCATCTTAACATGTAATTATACATATATATTGATATGGAGGGATAAGAAGTCACGTGACCTTGGCTAAGTTTCTTCAAAAGGCCAAATGGCCTAAAGATCTTTATACAAAAGATCTTATGAAAGTTGGATGGCCAATTTTAATGGCCTTATACCATCTATATAATAATATTTAAACTCAACATATGGATATAATACATATATATATATATATATATATATGGTGCAGATGGACTCGTTGAATTCCAAAGTCAACCAACATCGGTGGATTGTTTCCAACCAAGACTAAAACTTCTGAAGTTGCAACGTCTCATCAGATCTTAAGACAAATCTTGAAGGTTCAAGCCCAGCCCACGGAAGCATATCCAACACTTTCAAATGTTTTCATGCATGTGATAAGATCCATCCAAGGAAAGCAATCAAAGAGAGTAATGTCAATCTAGAACATTCCTAAGAAAGAGAGAATCAAGTGATCAAATTTGCAATATAATGATCTCATTCAAATCAATTCTGCAAATTTAGGAAGCCACACAAGGAAAGATTTTGAACGAAGTTGACCTTTGGCCATTTAATGTCCAGCCCATGGGCTGACGAATGCCCCTATATAAACTACATCAGACAAAGAGCAAAGGACCCCCAACATCATATACAAAAACCTACTTTTTGTCTTTCAATTTTCTATCCCTAGACTAGGTTTTTATTTTTCAAGCAAGTAGACTAGATCAGTTCTTCACTTTCGTTAGTGTAAGTTTAATTTCTTGTATTTTCCATTACGTTGTTTTGAGATTCAATTTTATCGCTTTATTGTTAATTGTTACCGAATTTTCTTTAAGCTTAATTTAATTTCAAATTGCTTTATTTTATTGCCTTTATCATTTATATCGTTCTTATTTCATTCTTCGTTTAATTTAAAGTTTATCTATCGCTTTAATTTACTTTATCGCACTTCAATTCTCGTCTTTAAGTTTAATCACATATTTTAATTTAATTTGCATCATTATCATTAAAAATCTCAAAAAATACTAAAGTACCTATACGAAACCTAACCATCCTCGACCCCGATGAAGTGAAAGAACCTAGGCTAATAGGAGGTTCCTTTCTCGGCTGGTTAGAAGTCAGGAGCGCGAACACAACAGTCCAACATTTTCCATTCAAGCCAGTCAGTGGCTTGGTGGTGACACACCTATGCAATCTAAAAGAAGAAGGACCAACAACTCCTTCAATCGACCTACCCCGGCCGAAAAGAGGGAAACAAATTGGATTTTTGTTCTTTCCTTGGCCTTCAACCTCACCAATTTGAAGAGTAGAGGCTACCCAGATGAGTACTTGGGTGGGCAAGAGAAGAGTAGAACTACCCAAGAGTAGGGGAACTCAAAATTGGACTTTTAGAAATTGCATTGCAATTTTCATTTAATTACAATTGGATTTTTGTTCTTTCCTTGGCCTTCAACCTCACCAATTTGAAGAGTAGAGGCTACTCAGATGAGGAATTGGGTGGGCAAGAGAAGAGTAGAATTACCCAAGAGCAAGGGAACTCAAAATTGGATAAAATTGTTCATCTTGGTTCCTCCATTTTGCTTCAATAAAATTAATTTTTGTTTTTGAAGCTATTTTCGTTTTTGTTTTTATTTTTTTTAACATAATTGATATCTACATTGTATTTTTGTTGCAGTTTTTCTGTTTTTATTTGCAGTTTTTGTGTGAAAAAGTGTTGAAATGATTTTTTTATTTATTTTAATAACCGTTGATTGTTTATATTAATATTGTATAACTGAATATTTATATAAACACTCAACGGTTTGGTGTAGGGGTTTGTGAGTGAGTCTTCCTCCTTTGAGGGTCAAGGTTCGAGTCCCTTCAATGGCACAAAATCTTTTTTTTTTTAAAGGTGAATAAAGAGCAACATAGTTGGTCCCCTACATACGATGGCAAGCAGGAGACGGGCGGTGACGGTGGTGGCAAGTGGCCGACGGCGAGAGTCCGGCAATAGGTGGCAGTGGTGGCTGATGGTGGCCGGCGGTGGTCGCTAGATATGGACATGTGACATAGTATGCTTGCTTTAGAAGGAGTGGCATTGTTTGTAATTTTGATATTTTTTAATGGTATTTTTGTAAAATTAGGTACTACATTTTGGTCTTTGGCCTTATGCTAATTAGATGAAATTGTATTTCTATCTTCCAAATTAGTAAGCTATATTGTGTTTTAAAACTAAAGCTCCTTTATAGAATTACTTTCATGCTTATTTCGTTTAAGCATGAAGAAATATGGGTTCCTCGAGTTGAAGAATTCATTAGCCGATCAAGCTACTTGTCAATTGGCTAGTAAGTTTACTTCAAGGAGAACTCAAGGTCGACTTCTTTATAAGTGAAGTGGTCTGATGTATGACAACTTATGGCTTTGTTCATATGAAGGAAATTTGAAAAAGGGTCAAAATTCAAAATCAGAAATTGGGCTTCAAATATGGAAAATCATGCTTGAGAATAAATTACGGCTCTAGGAAAAGGAAGGTGTATCATTAGAATTTTTGGGTTGCTTGATTTCTTGAGAAGATTTATATTATATTTATATTTTTAGAATACGTTATCAATCACGATTTTATTTTCCTGATATGATTTTAATTATTTTTCTTATTAGTTAAGTTTTAAGAATATTCTAGAATCTAGGGTTTGCTACGGTTGTAGGGTTTCTAGGTTTTCTATTTAAGCCAGCTCATGGCATTGTATTAATTCAGTTTATTATCAATCAAATACCTTCGAGTTTTACTTAACTTTTTAGTGGATTTTAGTTTGTTGGTGGATTCCGACATTTTTACTTCAGAGTTATCGTTCAATCTCCATATCCCCCTATATCTCGCTGTGTCACTTAGAGCTACAAAATCTGCATTTCGGTCATTCCAAGCCGAGTTTGATGCATAGCTGTATCGTCTATCTCTAGAAGCCTATGTGTCTTTTGAGGACCATTGGCATTAAACTCTGGCTTTATTATGAGTCATTAATTTCTTTGCTTTCAATAAGTTTTTGTTACTTCTGTTTTATTATTAGTTTTGTTTTTGTTTATAAATGAATGATATTGGCAAGTTGCAACTTTTTGTTGGTAACAGAAAGTTTCAGAATATTTCTTTCAAGAAAAAAAAACAAAGTGAGAAAAAAACTTCAGGTAATAGATTTTAATTTCATCAGTTAAATCCAAGAATAACGAGAAAAATCATTAACAAAGACAACATTCTAATTGAAACCAAAAACAGATTTATTGGGAGAACTCCACACATCATAGTGTATAAGTTCAAGCTGTGAACTAGAAAAGAAAAAGACGGGCTAAAGGGTAACTTAATACTTTTTCTTAACGGACATGAATGACAAAAATGAGAACATGACAATTTATTATGAGATAATAAGAAAAACAAGGTAGATAAAACCAGGATGACCAAGACGAGAATACCACACAGAGCGGTCAATATGAAGACCTAGTAAAGCAACATGATCAGGCAAGATTTGTAAACATGATCATGCAAGATTTGTAAATACACATTTAGTGAGAGAAAAAAACGAATACATGCCATTGGTACTCCTGCCCCAAAAATAGTATTCCCTGTCACCAATCCTGTAGAAAATAACAATTAAGGTAAAAGGTAAAGAAACAGTTGTTGTCAGTAGCAAGTTTATGAACATATATACGAGGAACAGAGGTATTGGCACCTTGAAGGATATCATTAAGAGTGAAAGAGGGGTTATTTGTGATGTGAATGTTAGCACTAGTATCGACAACCCGTTATTGTGTACCACCATGCGAAGGATGTTGAGATTTCTTTTTATTATTATATGATTTTATTAGTTTTGTCAAATTGAATTGATATGATTTTGAGTCGTTGAGTGAAATTTTATAGTTCAAATGATTTTAATTGTGTTGAATGATAGTTTAAGGTGAAATTGAAGTGTAATATGAATATATATATAAATTCGGGTATTTCAGGCCAGGTATGCGATTTAAACCCCCAACAGGGACATGGAACAGAGATTTCAAGAAATTAAAAAATCAGGGATGAGGACAGAGATAGAATTCAAGTACGGGATGATATTGTCATATCCGATCCCTATCCGACCGGTTGCCATCCACACTAGGTCTGTCCAACTAGCCTGCCTAACCCAAGCCTGCTCGGTTTTTTTTAATTTCCCTTCTTGGTGTGTGTATTGTGGGTTTTGGGGTTTTACAGTTTTACTGCACTTTTGTTGTACATCTAATCCCGACCGTTGAAATAAGCAACGGCTAGGATTGGACGTATATGGACCATTATGCGCATAACCCCTCATATTGTCTGACCTAAAACCCTCCTCCCTTTTCGTTTTTGTTTTCACTTCTTTTTCAGCTGCCTCCCTTCTCTCACCCGCCATTGAAGCTCAGCTGCCAAAGCTTTCTGTCCTCCACTGTAATACAGTAAGTCCTCTTCAAACTCTCTATCTCTATCTTTCCCTCTCTTTCTCTCTGCCGTCGCCGCTACCAGCCTAGAGCACGTGTCATTGTGTCATCACCAACCTGCTCTCCGAGCCCTCATCCACCCACGACCCCGGAAGCCAGTCCACTATTTGCATATTTGTTCCTTGAATCGATTTTCATTCATATGTGCTTAAATTGTGATTATTTGGTTGCTTCTGGGTTATTTATCTGTTAATATTAAGGCGAGAACCTTACATTGGGAGTTTGCCTTTTCTGCCACAGCTTTAATGGCCCCTTATACGGTTACTAAGAGAAAGGGCGCGAAGGCACAGAAGGCCTCGCCCAAAAAGAAGCAAAAGAAAGAGTCTTTTACTGATAAAACCCCAAAGCAAGCTGACCTTTTCGACCATTCTGACAGCCCGGATGAACAAGAGGTAGAGGAACATGTGGTGTTTGATGAAGATGATGAGGAAGGATCTGGTTCAGGTTCTGATATTCTTTTCGGTGATGATCCCCTTGCTGGTGATGATGATTCTCTCCAAGCAAGTGATGGTGAAGGTATTGGGCTTTTAAATTTTTTGTTTTTTTGTTTTTTGTTTTTTTAGTTCGTTGGTAGCTGTATATTATATACCATTATGTCATTATGTTGTTGTAGAGAAAGGTTCAGGGTCTGATTCCGGTTCTGATTTGGATTCCGACTCGGATGATTCTGATATTGAGGCAAAATCAAGAGCTATTGATGAAGAGAGGGCAAGGGAAGAAGAAGAAGCTGGAGCTGAAATGCAGCTAAACATTAAGGAAGAATCCGATGAGTTCAGATTACCAACCAAAGAGGTATTTTTTGGACCACATTATGTTTTTGCCACCAACTTATTGGAATATTAGTTAATATGTTGATTTATCAGTTGAAATATTCTATTTTCATGCTTAAATTCACTTGTTATCTTAATGATATAGGAACTAGAAGAAGAGGCACATCGCCCTCCTGATCTTCCAAATCTCCAGAGGAGAATAAAAGAGGGTAAGCATGCCTTAAGTTTCTGTATTTTTTTAAAAAAAAATTATATTTTTTTTCCAGTCTAAAGGTAATATTTATATGTAGTTGTTCGAGTGCTCTCAAACTTCAAGGCTTTGAGGCAAGATGGAGCACCAAGGAAGGATTATGTTGAGCAGCTTAAGAGGGATATCATTTCATACTATGGCTACAATAACTTTTTAATCGGGGCATTAGTAGAGGTGATTCATATATTTCTTGACATTGTCTTGTTTAGTGTCACTTCTGTAATGATCTTTCTTTTTCTCATTTTCACTGTTTGTTTGATTTTGGCAACTTATTAGAATTTATTCTGTTTCTAGATGTTTCCAGTTGTTGAACTTGTGGAACTTATAGAAGCTTTTGAAAAGCCTAGACCAATATGTCTCCGAACTAATACGCTAAAGGTGACAGAATATTTTAACATATCAACATTGTGACCCGTAACTTGTTTTTATCTTTTCCCCTCAGAAGTTAGCATCTTTTTAAATTACTCTTTTCTGTTGTGCTTAGACACGAAGGAGGGATTTGGCAGATGTTTTAATAAACAGAGGAGTAAACCTAGATCCCTTAAGCAAGTGGTCGAAAGTAAGGACTTCTGTGTATTTTTCTTATCGATATCTTTTTCCTTCTATTTTATTATCAAGATCCCTAGGAGTGCTTATATTGTGTTTGCAGGTTGGACTGGTTGTGTATGAATCGCAAGTGCCAGTTGGTGCCACTCCTGAATATATGGCTGGTTATTACATGGTAGATGCTTTACTAGTTAACATTATCCTGTGGTGCTTCATTTCAATTTTCATCCTTTTGAGTGATTTACTTAGTGTTATTGTGTTCTCAGCTCCAAAGTGCAAGCTCCTTTTTGCCTGTCATGGCCCTTGCTCCTCAAGAAAAGGAACGAATTGTTGATATGGCGTAAGTATTTCTTCCTTTTGTTTTGACTTTGATTTTTATATTTTCCTGCTTGCAATATTTCATCATATTTCCAAACATAGATTTAAATTTTCAGTTTTCCTTAAGAACATTATGTTGTATGTGAAACATAATTTGCCCGGTTGTGTAAGCTTCCGTGCTCCGTTTTGAAGTTCTTCCTGCTGTAATTACAGATTTGATGAGCCGAAACTGAAAAAAGCATGTGCCTACTATTTATGCTTAAATTTTTTCTTTTTTCTAGAACGTTGACTATAATTAGATGAAACCTGGTTCTGTTAAAATGGGTTATCTTGTCTTAATTTAAGTCATATAACCTTGCTCATGCAGGCTGTGTATGATAGGGAGAAAGAATAGATTGTGTTCATGCTTGAAGTTTTAAGTTTCCTCAGGATCCAAAATACTTAATAATTTTCCCTCTTCAGAGCAATATATGCTTGGCATCTTCATACTTGCTTTCCCTGTCATGTAACAAGAACAGATTGGTTTAATTGTGCCTGGACATGTACCAAAATTCCTCTACAAGGCTACAACTATATCCCAACTACTTCCACTGTTGTATTCTCCATTCTGATAACTCTTTTATCCTTTTGCAGGGCTGCACCTGGTGGTAAAACAACCTATATTGCCGCTCTTATGAAAAATAGCGGTATGTGATCTGATTCATTCAATGGCTTTAAGTTTTGCTGTAAAAAGAATTGTTTTAAGTTATACTCTCTTTTTTTCTGCATCCATTTATATTTTCAATATTAATATATTGCAATCATTTTTGGTATCCTAGATTTTATGTTTACTTCAGTTACATCAAGGGGACCATGGTTACTTGAGTTATTATGGACCTTGTTCCAAGTCTCTGTGCTGATGCTTGCATGTGAGTTTATGCGGTGTGGTGTGTGTATTTTTGCATGTGCGTCTGCATGAGGTGTCAAGGCTTTGAATAACAGTAGACATGCTTTTTAATTTTTATGTGACCATAATTTCTGTTAACCATTTTGTCTTTTATCCCCCACAAATTCTTTCAAGTTACGAATGCATGATCCAGCATCTTCTCTTTGCTAAAAAGTACATAATGATATTGCTTAAACAGCAAAGAAGAAAAAGATGCGCGAATCTTAAGTTTAAGATGTTGGAGCCATGTTTACCTCATACTGAGATTTGTGATTTGGTTTTTTTTTAGAACATATAGAAGCAACATCTATTTGTTCCAGTCTTTTTTAATTGTTCTTATGCAATTCTTTCAGGAATAATTTTTGCAAATGAAATGAAGGAGCCAAGGCTTAAGTCACTGACTGCTAATTTGCACCGTATGGGGGTGACGAACACAGTAGTTAGTAACTATGATGGCAAGGAGGTTAGTTTTTTCTCGTTTTTTTATTTTTATTTTTAAATTTCCCTAGAACGTCTAGTAATTGAAGTTTTTAAATGTGTTCGGCTTTACTAACCCATTACTCCTAATGTGACAACACTGTTAACAAGATGGATGGCACTGGAAAATACTTTTTGTCTTAATGGAAAGGTTTAGAATCATGCATCCCCAAGTCATATTTGTCACTCATGCAAATTGTTTCATATGACATTATCACTGGTTCAAAGTTGACACCAGTGATAATGTTAGGTTGTTATTACACGCTTGTATGTTTTCAATATATGCATTGTTTGATTGTTTTCTAATGATTTCTTTTAATACTCCAGAAAGTCTAAACACTGAAATATGCAGTGGAATTTACTAAGCCATGACACCAAATGTTTGTTTCATTGGACATTATCACTGCTGCAAAGTAGTTACATTAGATTTTTATTACATGCTCATCATGTTTTCAACATATTACTTGTTTGAGTGATTTCAATATCTTTATCCTGTATTGTTTTTTATGACTCTTTCTGAGGATTATTCTGTTTTATTTTATGGAATTTTCTCTCAAATTTTACATCTTTCTTTCCCGTCTGTTGATTTTTATTTCAGCTCCCCAAGGTTCTGGGTGTTAACGCAGTTGATAGGGTTCTGTTAGATGCTCCTTGCAGTGGGACTGGGGTAAGCAACTGGGGTGAATGTGTAACCATTTACTCGGCTTTGTTGTCTTCTTTTTTTCTTAATTGTTTGATGAAACCTAATGAGTCTTGGTTGCAGGTTATATCTAAAGATGAATCTGTTAAAACGTCTAAAAGCTCTGATGAAATACATAAATGTGCTCATCTTCAGAAGGTAGATTGTTCTTTTTGCTGGTATTTTTAATCCTTTTGAGGTTTATTTGAGTTATGTGGTTTCGGCTTTACTATATTTATTTATCATCTAAATAGCCTTTGAATTTTGTAATTTTTTTCTGTAGCAACTGATACTTGCAGCAATTGACATGGTGGATGCCAACTCGAAATCTGGGGGATATATTGTGTACTCCACATGCTCCATTATGGTTGCTGAGGTTTGTTTATTGCACCCTTTGTTGTATTTCTAGTTGCAGAATGAAGCAGTTATTGACTATGCGCCCAAGAAGAGAAATGTTAAACTTGCACCCTTAGTTGTATTTCCAGTTTATTTTATACTAACTTATGTCTTGCAGAATGAAGCAGTTATTGACTATGCACTCAAGAAGAGAAATGTTAAACTTGTGCCATGTGGACTTGACTTTGGGTGTCCAGGGTAAAGATAGTTCCCCGTTTGTGTGGTTCATTTGCTGAGGCAAGAGTTTTAGATTTCAGTATTAATGATGTTTCCTTATCTTTCAGGTTTGTCCGGTTTAGGGAACAGAGGTTTCATCCATCATTAGAAAAGACGAGGCGATTTTACCCTCATGTTCACAATATGGATGGTTTTTTTGTGGCGAAGGTAAAGATCTGTTGGTTATTTGTCTTCCCTAATTTTTCAGATTACCTCTAAAAAAGGCTGGCTTGGAGTTGGATATAATGGTGAAATTAATGGGTGAAATACTGAATGGTATGGGTTACGAATCCTTTTGATTCAGGCTAGCTAGTTATTTGATTATTCAATGTTTGCAGCTGAAAAAGATGAGCAATTTAAAGCCAACTACAGCACATTCTGAACTGGATGAAACTGCAGAGCGAGGCCACAGCATGACTGAAGACAGCATTGAAGAGAATGATGAGAAAGATGATCAAGAGCATTTGACAGAAGATGACACTAAAATTAAAAATAAGGTTTTGAAAGAAGGCGTTGCTGAAAATGGGAAATTAAAATCGCCAAGTACTACGGACCAAAATAAGGAATCTAGTGGGAAACGGAGGAAGGAAAAGAATTTCCCTTCCTTTTTCTCTCATCTGAAAGGAAAAACCCCCTTGGAACAAAAACAAGAAAACAAAGCAAAATTCCCTAAATTGAAGTTCCCCCCTAGAGAGGATATCGCAAAAGCCAGGTAAAATGACCATTATCTTGCCATCCAGAGTAAAAATTGCATTTTGGCATTTCATTAAAACAAACTAGCTTGTAAATTAAGAATGACGAAGGTTCAACTACAGTTCTTAGGGTTAACATCCAACAAGTTGAACTTAATTTGTATGAATAACTACAGTTCTTTCTTGTCCTTTTTTATTCTGAACTAACTCGATCTTTTTCGAACTCCTGCAGGGAAGAGAAGAGGAGAGCTGTAAGGGAAAAGAAATCTGCCAGCAATAACATCGGTAAAGGAGAATGACCAACGGGCCGCAGATCAAGTCTGGTTGTTTAACAGTGGCCAAGTTCTAGTTCAATTAGCAAAATAGATTGTACGGGTTTTTCTGGGCATGTTTGGACATATGGTTCTTGAGGCAATTTGGTGAACCATGTGATGGGAAGCTGGCAAGTAGGCGGGCTTTTGCAAACTGAGTGGGGGATTTGTCAGGGCAATGTTGTTTTCTTTGTAGCAGTAAATCAACTGATACAAGTGGCCTGTGTGCTCTGTATGAGTCCCTAAAGTTTTGTTTTATTCCTTTTCGTTGAGAACCGAAAAATGATTTTATTTTTATTATTGTTACTAACACAATGTGCCTATGACTTCCATATCTTAGTAATTATAAACGAAAGCTGAGGGAACTCTATGGTCTAGATTTGGCTTTTCAATCATACAACTTTATCCTTGTGTAAAATTAAGGAACATGTTTTTACTTTGGGAAAATTAGTTAGATGACATTTGTAAACACTAGAAAAGGTTTTATCTTTAAGGGTTTGAGTTTGGCCTTTGCTTTTTCAAAATTGACAAGCAAACATAAAGCTATAAATCGTTACACAATTGGCTTCTCCGTCAATTGAGCAGTGCACTATTGCTCGTTCATTGACCATTTCTGTGTTAGATTGCTTTCTTGTAGTGTGCGAACTTCGGGATTAATAGCATTTATCTTTTTACCCGAGGATTTAGGTTTGATTCTTCACTTCTCCAACATCACACGCGTTTTACTCAAAATTTGATATTCCAGTGAGATTTTCTACTACTGGAGCACACCCTATCCCTAGTGATTGACCAAAAAAATAAAAATAAAAAACCACACCCTAGTGAATGCAAGGACTCGCTTAAAAAAAGGGTGTAAAAGTGATGGAGGAAAATCAATTGAGAGTTTTTGTGGTGTTAATATTGGGGTGGATACGCTTATCCAAGTTATACTTGTACACGCAAAAGATGCTCTACCTCCATCTCTTTCCTTCACTTTCCTCTCATCTTCCTTCGTCATCATCAGTTGACGAACTTATATACCTATATATACCTTCAATTTCTTCGAAAGTATCACATGCATCCTGATTGTATGATTCGAGGGATTCGAAAATTGTTCGCATGAAAACCCAGATGAAGCGTTCATGAAATGTTTTGAGCATCAAATTAGAGATTGTATTGAGAAACACACAAGCGTGCAAAATTAGTGAATTTTGGTCAATGCATGGGGATAGAGTTCTATTTTTACTTACAATTTTTGTAATGAGTCGTATTTTTTATTTGAAGTTTGCAACTGGTTCTGTGCATATTTCCCATGTCTTTCAATTAATTCAAGGCAGAATTCATAAAAATGAGCCAAATTAGAGTAGTTTTTTAGACTATAATCTAATGTTTCTTTCAGTTAATTATGATCTATTGTAAATCTTATAAAACTGCTCCAAAAGAAGACTTACTTTAATTTGGGTACAGGTCATTTAAGAAACAGTAGTTTCTTGTACTCAAAATCCTTAATCTCAACTGATTTTTAATGCACCTTGACCAAAAACAAAACAGAAAAAACTGATATTGAAAGCACAAAATCCAATGAGAGAGAGAGGCAGGCAAGAGAGAAGAAAAGGCAGGAGAGAGAAGATGAAGAAGAAAGAAGAGAGAATAGGAAGAAGAGGAAGTGGAGGAAGATGCGGGAGATGAAGGAAGAAGAGGAAGAAGAAGAGGGAGAAGAATGTGAGACAGCTTACAAGAGTAGCACATCAACAAATTGAGTGGAACATAAATGGCTAAGGATTGAGAATACAACAGATATGACCCGATTAACCCGAATTACAAGCGATATACACAGAGATCCCTCTTCTGAAAAAGAAAAATAAAAAAGTAAAACTTTCCCTCTTCCTATGCTTCAAAACTTGGCATCTCTACGCAATGAGACCTAACTCCAATATGTAAGGAACCTAATAAATGATTTGATACAAGCACTGGAGATAATAAGACCATAAATGCTCCACGAACAGATCCCACCAACAGAATTGCAATCCAAAACACCATTACAAAGAAAAGAGACAGCAAAGAACACACCGTCAGCTCCACAAATATTTTTCCAATTATGACGCCTTAACCCTGTTATGCTCTAGAGTCCTCGTCCCTGTTATTTCTGAATAATAACATTATCATATTCCCTGTAGCTGCGAAAAGGAGATTCGGATTATTGACCCACCGAGCGAGGTAGCATGCTTGCACACAAGAGCTTCAGTGGCCTGCTCCTCAGTTTCAAACAGAACCAACGCCTGCTTCTTTCCGTTCATCTCAAAGAGCTTCGTGTTTACAATGGTACCAATTTCCTCTAGGTGGTTCACAATCTCCTCTTCAGTGACTTCCTGGGGAAGAGAAGACAAGTGGATCATCTTTGTTGGCGAACAGCAATAGCGGTAGTTCTTTGCTGCATTACGATTGAAGCGGTTGAGATTTGAGTTCATGTATTCATGTGTGTCGGCACCTTGGGTTATATTCGGATGCTTTGAGAAGTTGACCTCCAATCGCTTCCCAAACAGGATTGCACCCTATGTCACAAATTTGTTATCGTATTGGTACCCAGAAAGAGCACAGCTTTTGTCACACTAAAGGCCCTCATAATAAGGTTTATGTTTTTGTTTTAAGTTAAAAGACAGAATAAAAAGATATGGGAGAACAGATAAAAGATATGTGAGGAAGAAATGAGATAGAATAAATTAAACTTAAACTGAGGGGAAAAAACTATTTAAGATTGTTTTTGGCATTTTGTTTTGGTTTTTATCTTATCATTCACGTACATTTTCTTCTCCCTCCTTCACATTTATCATCTGATTGCCCCATTTACTTCTCTACCTTTTAATTTAAAATAAAAACCAAAGTAAATAAACATGAACCAAAATGTTACCAGACTACTCAAAACAGAAGTTGAATTGCAACAAAGACTGCAGTATCCAACTTCTAACCAACGCTTTCAAGGACTTGGTCAAAACATCAAAACCAATTATGATACATTGTGCAGAATAATATGGGTCATGACGCAACTATCCACGTGAAAAAACTAATAATAATATTATGATATTAATACGAATAATGATATTGTTGAACCTACTTTCAAACCAGAAAACCAACAAACAAATGCCATGCGTCTCTAGTCAAAGCAGAAACGGTGAAATTTGTAAAGACTCCACATAGTTAAAGTTTGCAATCACTTGCTGAAAAATAACTTCATTCTGTAGTGACAGTGAGATTGACATGCCAACACAATTCAATAAAAAAACCTTTTTCATTAAATCATAAATATAAAGTTATAAATACATTTTATCCTACAATATATAAGAGAAAAATACGTACCTTTAGAAAGTGTACTGCCAGTTCGGACTGGAAGCCATCACCCATCTGGACAAGTGCATGGTCTGGTTTGTTTCGAAGAAGTTTAATTCTCACAATGTTTCCATATATGGAAAACAAGTTAAAAAGCTTATCCTCGTCTATTTTCTGAAATTAAAAATGCCAGCATGTCAAGAATCAATATAACAAGAAGAAGAAGGAAGAAGAGGAGGAGGAGAAGAACTTACATCAGGATTGAGATTTGAGACAAGTACTGTACACCTGTCATTTGTCCCACTTATACCAGGAGGTAAACCTCCACCAAAGGCGGCCGCAATTGCAGCCGCATTAGCCATCTATATTGAAGGGGAAAAAATATGTCAACTTTTTAATCTTTCGCATTACAATATGAGTACAAACACAAATACCAATAAGGAGCCACATATTAAAGATGAAGAAAATATCATGAAGTAGGAGCTAAAATCTTTCATCAAAAACTGTCAAAGTGTCAACAAAAAATATGGCAATCATTTCAATTGACATAACAAGCCTCCTGGACTCCTTGCTTCAACTGGTCCTTGTGTTCCTCAAATGGATCTCCCACTAGTTCTGATTTCCCAAAAGAAGTATACAAAGCGTTACTCAAGAACTTACAAACCAAAAATATACAGAAACCAGGGTTGCAATCTTCTTTATAAGGCAAGGGCATGCAAAGGTATCTCCAAACAACATCTTATCTTAGGCCCCAAATGGTGTAGTATCTCAAATAACACAAGAAGCACATTTAAAATGAACCAAACATGAACTGGCATACATACATAGCATAGATTCAGGAATACTAGCATCAATCAGTCAATTTTAATTTTAAAAGAAAAAACGAATCAGAGGCATCCTGAACATTCCACGCAACAGTACAGGTAAGATCCTCCTGCTCAGAATTATTTCATACACATGCAAGACAGCCTGAAGAAAACCCACCTGCGGAAATCCAACTGAAACACAAAAAAGAACGTATTGATAAATTATTGTAGATCACAGGATTTCAATAAATAAATAACCAACTAATATTCCTTAAGACAAATAAAGCACCTGCCCTGGCTCCAGTACCTTGAAGGCCATACACGCCTCCTGCATCACCATACCCAGGCTGCAGCACAAAGGGAACAAAAATATAAAACAGATTGCCTAGGGACAACTAAAGCAAGTAACATAGGAATTTGAGATAAAAAATAAAACGCAGTACAACACACCTGCGGGGATCTTCCTTTCTGTTCTGAAGGCAAATTGGGGTTTGTGAAATCTCTAGGCAAAGGGAAAAAGAAAAATGATTCAGCACTAACAGCAGGATAATGTCAAAAAGATAAAACTGAGAATGCATTTGTTTCCAGCAAACCTTGAACGCTCATTATTGTAGTTCACTTGTAACTCGTCAAGGCTGGATTATGAATAAGAGTGATGAATAAATTAGTATCCCCAAATAGGCAATGAGAATATATATATATATATACACACACATATATATAGGACCAATCTCTGCATACAGATGCAAACTACAATATAATGATAGAACATTTGAAACCTACTTTGAGAACTGAATGTCCAATTGACAGCAACCATCATAAATATTGCGTCCCTGTAAAGAGCAATGTGTTAACCCACAGGAAAACTAGGATACAGACTTCGAACAAAGCCTCCTGTTCAAGCTGACAAGCAATATGTGGATGTTTGAAGAATACCTGCAGCGCAGTTCTAGCTGCAACGGCACTCTGCCGTGACTGATACTGGATTAGGGCCTGAAAACCTACATGGTTCCACAAACAGGATGCAAAAGATAAAACAACAAATAAAAAAATCATGCATTGTTTGTTTAGACTATGCGCCCTTTCTTGCTTACAAGGCATAAGGCATGCATACAAAGGCAATACATATTGACTTAAGAAGAATTTGTTTCTAAGTACTAAACCACTGATCATGGAAAATTAAAGCAAATATGATATTTCCCACAAAAACAAGCACATATGCATCCAGCATTGGATCAAGAGTCAACTTGAGAGTTGTAATCTAAAATAAAAGAAGCAGACTAAGAGAGAAAGAGGGAGAAAACTTGTAGAAGCTGACCAGCTGACTTCTGAAAAGTGACGATCTTCTCTACAAATCCATGAGGAAAAAACACTTGATGCAGAACTTCCACTGTTATAGGATATAGCATGTGATGAATTGTAACTAAGAGAATTCGGTTTGGCTGAGCATCCAGAGAATGTCCGACAGCAGACCAGCATATAGACAGAGGAGAGAGGAGAATAAATAGAGAAGTACAGATATAGAATGCGACATATAAACTGATATTGAAATTAATATTTAACCACAATTAGGATAGAAAGCGCATAAAATATGAAGAAGAAAAAATGAAAGGATTAAGATCAGATATAGGGGCCAGTAAAGAAATCCAAAACAGGCTTGACTTATGTAATCTTTTACTATTTGCTTCATCCTAGAATCCAGAAAACCCTTGTAGACAATCTTCTAAATTTGAATAGTAATCAACAGAGCAAACTGACAATCAAAGACTGATTATAATTTTGAAATAGGGGGAAAATTTATATTTAAAGAATTGAGGGCTCAACTAGAAGACACTGTTTAGACATAATAAAGAGAATTACTTCGTTGTAGGTTATATGCTACATAGAGAAAAGGAAGGAAAGAAAAAGAAAATTCTCTTATTCAGGTTACTGCACAATCTGTCCAATGTATATGCATGCATTGCAGAAGATAAAAAAGTATTGCAGCCTTCAGGAGTATGCTAATCCTATCACTTATCATATAATTGACTAAATTTCATTGACCACACTTGAAATTTCATTTGGCCTGCAATGCCATACACTCCATAACTAATAAAAAAAAAAAAAAAAAAAAAAAAAAAAAAAAGAAAACAATACAGGCCTCCAGAAGACTAAGCTCTCCAAAAAAAGTTCTAAATCTCTCTGGGCCTTTACAGAGGCACAAATGAAAAAGGAAACACATTAGATTAAAGTGACCAAGGATTCAACAAGGTAAGCTCTGAGCATTACATCTGTCCTCGTACAGATTGAAAAGACTTTCTAATCTGTATTTTGACATAAGATCCTAAAAATTTAGTAGTTCAAAACCTGCAGATGTAATGTCACAGCCTAAAGAACCGTTATTGCTGCACCCACCGATATAGGACCCATCGAATAATAATAAGAGAATCTATCTACAGTTGATATACCTCAGAACAACTATCTTAGCTTGAGTATTCAATGACAGTCTATCTATATACATATATACGACATGTAACGCTTGATTAGGTTAGAAGTGACATCCTGAATCAGAGGAAGAATATAATTCATTACTCAACCATCAATTACAGCTGTGTCATAATTCCTAACATATGCTACTAACACAAAATAGATAGCTGTCAATGATATATCAGCTAGTTCAAATTTCCAGAAATATCAACACGGGTGAAAATTTTGGAAAATATACCTATATCGATGGCAATTTTGTTTAGAACATAGAAATATTGAATAAGATTTTTGAAAATATTAAACCAATCAATTAAACAATTAAACTTCCAAAATAGCAATGTATACATACATAATTGAACATTTGAATATTAAACCAAAATAGCAAAACTTCAATTGTGCACAACAATGCGTGTTGTGGACAGATATGACTTTAAAACATACATAAGGCCTAGTACTCTGATTAGTGCATTTATTGACGATGATATAATTATAATATTGTAAAGGTCTTTCTTATATAGTCATTATACCACTACTTCTTGTAACTTATCAAACAAAACCTAAAATTAAAGTGAAAATGGAATAATATAACAATAAGTATAGTAATTTTTTAACTTGGGTGAATATATAAGAAAAGCTTAAAATAACGCAGTTTTATGGCTTAAATGTGTGCATCTATGAAGTTTTTTTTTTAAATTCTGAGTGAATACACAAGGTTGTTTTTTCTATTAAAGAATATATAAGCCCACTACCACAAATGCCACTTCCACCTGCATCAAATAATAAAAGTCTACTAGCCCACCATTTCCCCATTAATCCCACCAGCCTTTTTTACTACATTACTATCCATCTTCTTAGGTACTCCCTTCACAATTAATTAAACCACTTATGCACTGTCCAGTTTTGTTATTTAAGCCCAAAACCTCTCTCACGCTACAGGACCTTCACTCTCTCCTTAATTTGCAGAGTAACAATGGCAGTGAACCCACTCTTTTTTTCACATTTATTTTTCTCTCTTCCAAGCCTCTGCATAACCCTATCTCAAACATCCATTAGCATTCAAATAAAATCCAGATTTAATGGTAGCTGGGGATGGGTGTTTGGATTTCTTTTATATTAAAAACAAAAAACAGCTTGATTGAAAGGCAACATCTGGAAATATCAGACCGATGTGTTTGTATCTTCACCACTTGCTGTATTCAACTTGGCTCTAGTAGCAACGAGTAAAAAGTATTATTATCACCTGAAAGTGATTCACACTTTCCTAAAGACAATATCAGGCCTACAAGGTACCAACCTCATCTCCTCGTCCTTGAGCATTCTGATACATTGTTGTCAATTCTTGATGTGATGAGAACTGGACATAGACATTCCTTCCCCTAGGAAAGTATAAATAGAGATTAAAAACACATAGGATAATAAAAACAAAAAATTGTTACTTTAAGTGCTCTGCAAATCACAATGATAATTACAAAGCATTCTCAACAGAGTGATTCAAAATGGTGAAAGAAAAAAAACAAAAGGCACATATTTATACCTTATGGCAGGTTGAACATTTCCATAGAATTGCAGTGCACTTACTGCAGCAGGGGTATCTTGCATTTGGATAAGAGCCTGCACAGGTGATTTGACATGAGACAAGACATATAAAACATAAATCCTCTACTTCTACCATGTGTTACTGATATTATACAAATAGAAAAACAAAAAACCTGATTTTTTGCACGAAGCATCACAAGCTTAGTTATGACTCCAAATGGCTGAAATAGCTGGAGCAAATCATTCTGGTAGAACAACATAAGACGCATTAAAAATAGATTGATAGAAATGAAAGCATAATAATCCCGAAAGAAATCTATCACATTACATCTAACAAATTACAGAATTAAGCTCTTTTAGAGAGAAAGGTAGTCTCCCCAACAGTACGTGCTAAAATTTGTGGTGTCATTTCTCGTATTTCTATTGTCAAAACAATCTCGTCATTTAGTTTTCAGTTTGCACTGAACTCCATTGATAAAGTTTCCTCCATACTATTAAAAAAGTGCACTGCTTCGATTCTATACCACCATAAAACTTTACTTCTCAAAATTAGTAAATATACAATGACTAACCGACTGACTCACACAAAGCTGAAAAAATTGTAATATAAGACGATCTACAAATCTTAAGATTCTTGCTTACCTTTTCAAAACAATATATTTTTTAGATTTCCCTCTCTTTAGATATAGCAAAAAATCAATTTTGAAAAAATAATTCCTCTCAATTGTCCCAGAAACACCAAATTAGATAAAGCTTTATTATTTTCTGTCTGAGATGATATATGAATAAAAGTTGAAGAAGATAAAATAGCACAAGAACATAAATTTCTTAACACATTAATTCCATGGAAATTGCCTAAAATGGGATTCAACATAATCATAATTGTTTTTATGTGGAACCCTACTTATTCTTGGATTAGTAGAGCTTTGAGGATTCGCAAATTAATTTGCAACTCTTTCTGCTAGATTATGCAAGCCACTGGATCTACTAAGCACAATAATTTTTTTAAAAAACAAAACAAAACAAAGTGATGCTGACAATTGTATGCATTGCCTTCGTTATGATTCAAATATAAACAAAATAAAATAACTTTAATGAGAGTTCCCTAAATTATTTACTTAATGTCAACATGAGCGACAAGGTTATAAGTTCAACTTACCCCTTTATTTTTATAAGTTCAACCCACAATGAGACAAAAGGAACGATCATCCTGCTTAAGTTTATTCTCTTGGCTTGGTTGGCATAAGACGTTCTAAAGTAAATTGACTCCCTTTCCTGTTTATACCTCATAATGAGCGCCTCTTAAACCATAAGCATACCAATACATAATTGTGTTCGTCATGCAGGACACAGACAAAAAATTCTAGAGTCGAAGGCTCTATTTGCTTACTCTTAAGTGTAATTAACCAAACTTTCATCCTAATCGGGTTAATTCTTTTCATTTCTCCAATAAGTCAAATAATTATGTTAACAAAACAGGGCTAGAACCCCCAGTTACAGGCATAAATCTTCAACCCCATAAATCTTGCTCTAGCATTGAACCACCCCGAAAGAAGACTATAATGTAGTTCTTTAGCTATACAACTATAACTTCTTTTTCCTATAATTATAAATAAATAAATAAATAAATAAATACGGTGTTTTTTCTCTCCCTGCAAAGAGTCCACAAACCTATCTGGAGGTTTCCGTCCAAACTAACACTGCCAATTTATTGGAAAAGCAAACTTTCCCGTTGGTGACACCACCCAGGCAAGGCAGAATGTGGCACTAAGTATTGTTAATTTAGAAACGAAGGGGAGGAGGGGTTGGGTGGGGGGGAGATACCTTTGTAGATACACCTGCCAAACAAACATCAGCTTTATCAGCTGCTCAAAATGTTACTTTGACAGAAAACCTATCTTGGATGGCTCCCATCCATTCTACCCTATCAATGTCTCCTCTCCCCACTTTCAAAACATTCCAGAACAGCTCGGCTCTTTGGCTGGCAGGACAAGTAGTCACTTACCCCAGAAAGGATCCAAATCGACCACAGTAGCCTCAGTTAGTCCAAAACGGTGACTCCCTCTAACATCTCTCCTCTCCCAAGACAACCTTCCACTACACCACCTCCCTCCACCATTTACCTCCATAACAGTTTTCATGAGAAAGCTCTGTTAAGACAACCAAGCTCCCTGGGAAGGCAAACTATCCTTCATTACCTCCATATACATGAAAAAACAAAAAAGTTTCACCAACCCTAACCACATAAAGTCCTTCGAAACTTCTTTAGCCTCCTAGCTACAGACACTTGCAATTTGAAATCAGGAGATAAATTATAGCAAACTAGTGTTGTTATCAAAGAGTCCCCCCACCCCACCCTTTTTGATAGGAAGCTGCTCTCCCAACTCTCTAGTCTCTTATTCAAACACTCAACAAGAGTGGATCCCAAACCAAACATTCTCAGTGTTAGTTCAAGATAGGAAAATGAAAAGCTTTATCACTATAAAATAGGCCTCTAAGTTGTTAACTAAAACCGCAATACTGGGTATGTTAACTTATCTTTTGAGGTTAAGCTTTTATACCTATAATTCACCTCCAAGTTGTTAAATGAAATGAGCCTCTTTAAATGAATCAAAATTTATCTCTCTCACTTTCAGACTTTCTCCTATGATGCACGCCATAACCTCAACTCGTGGATTTAAAATCTTTACTTTGTAGCTTCCGCAACATCAATTAGAGAGACGGATGCTAGTTATCAGTTGTTCAAATACGAAAGCTAAGAAAAAATAAAAGGGAAACCACTAATAAGTTAATAAAGGTAATTACCATCAATAAACAAATAAGCATGCATAGAGTGCCATACATATCAATTCACTCTATGCTTCTCGGTGATCGTGAATTCAACCGAATTAATAGATTCTGACAATCATACAATTTTGACAAGCCAATGAAACAAGTATTAAATTTCAAAACATATAGTAAGGATGAGGAGGAATTCACAAAGAAAACAGTGAATGACAGAAACATACTTCAGAAATTTCATGCCCCACATTTCGGACATGAATGACTTTAGAAGGTTCTGTCATCGTGGAAAACCCTGTAACAAACCCAACATAGCCAACGACATATTAGCATTTACAGGAACACCAAATCTCAAACTCAAGTGTCAGTCCTATATTCAAAATGCACGCAAAATAAATTGTTTTCTTGACTTCCCACTCATAGCAAAACACATTCTTAAGTTCAATAATAACACCAAATGCACCAGATAAATGACTTCAAATATCAACAATTCCCTTCAAAATACCAAAGAATTTTTTTTTCAAAGTAACAAGAACAAAAGACTCAGGCTTTCTTCAGACGGGAAAAAACAGAAGAAAGAAAGAAAGAACCAAAAATGAAATGGTTTTGTTAAACAAAGCTTAGCTTACAAAACGAAAGAGAGCGTTTACAACTGAAAACCCTAAAGACCAGTTTGATTGCCGAGAAGCCGGAGGAGAGAAATAGCTGAAGAATCAAACACGTCCAGTGACAGATCCCATTTTGGTTAATAGATTAAAAGTTTTCCCTCGCAATTTCTCTGCAACCAAAGGCAGCGTACCTTCATCCAAATAAATATGATTAACGCTATCGACAATGAAAGGTAAGAGAGAAGAAAGGACTTGCCTGAGAGAGAGAGAGAGGGATCGAAGGAGTGAAGGGGGAGAACTCAAGTCAGGACTGCAGGGATCGAGTGCTTTACATGTAATTTGCGATGTACAGACGATTAGATTCCAACACGCACAACAAAGTACAAACATCCACCCATTGCCCTAAACCTGGATTTTTAACACGTGCGAGGCCGTGTTGCAGTCCTGGGACCCATTCACCAGTCACAGTTCCTATGATTTTTCGGTTTATTTTCTGAGTTTTTATGAATTTATTACGAATTTGGGAAGTTTAAACATTGAAAATGACACGCGGCACCGTCTAAATGGTGCGACAATGAATCACCAAAATCAAATTTTTGACATAGGGAAATTGAAAATCAATATTTGAAGAAAGGGAAACATTCTTCAACTTGAGAGAGTGTATTCAATTGGAATTTTAATAGATTGTAATTACATGATTTAATGTAATGAATTTTAGCATGATTGTTAATTATAGGATTTTACTTATGATTTTAATAGATTGAAATTACAGAATTTACTTCTGATTTTAATATATTGCAATTTCACTTGGGACTTTTTTGTATTCTCCAAAGTAAATTTTCCCAAAGTATGAATTGGATTCGGACTAGCCACGTTCTCCCAAAGTGTGATTTTAATCAATTATGATTTTTCTCACTTTATGAACATTTCATAATATAAATAAATGAAAATTTTTTGTTCTCTTCATTATTCACAGATAATTTTCATTTCTACGATTGCATAACCAATTATTCATGATTGATCAGATCATTGATGCAAAAAATATCCAAATACCAAATCCAACCTCTATAAATTTTCATTAAAGTATAAGAAGCTCTTTGGAATATCAAAAAAAGAATCTGTTCTTCTTCCGTAAAGGATTCTTTCAATAATTTAGAACCTAATCTTTTCAAAAAAGTTTGTACAATACTTTTGTGTTTACAAGCCCTGTATATGCATCCAAGAGTTTGATCATGACACTGTCAAGCACCAACATATCTACTCAAATACTCACCCATTGTTTAAGAAAAACAAACAAATAGCTAAGAACATCCACATTCATGCTCCTTATTTCTTAGCTAAAATTTAGCTAAAAACACAACAACAAAAAAAGCTATTTTATGAGCTCTCTAAAAAATTTCAACTCCAACCATACTCCTTAATTCGAAGAGTCATAAATGTTTTACTTCTTTTTGTCATAAATAGTTTACTTCTTTTTAAATTTAATTCCTGATTTGCAATAAAATGTTCATATTCAAATACTGAATATTCCCCAAATAATAAACTACAAAAACAATTCTATGGTTTTTGTGTTTTAAAAGTGTTTGTGTTTTGTAAAATACCTACAAGGAAAAGAACTATAAAATAAAAATAAAAATAAAAATAAAAATAAAAAAGGGTGTTTTTGTGCTGCTAAATGTTTACAGTTAAAAGAATCGGAAAAAAAAATTTTGCTTGTGCTTTGCAAAGCACCTATAGCAAAAAGAATAGAAAAGATGGTGCATAACGTAGGTAGCGTTGCAAAAGAAAGATGATTAAAAATATAAAATGCCGAAAAGGAAAAAGGATAAAATTAATGACATCATTAAATAAATCTTTAATAAAATAATAAAATATAGTAGCATTTAATTATAGGGAGTCACTAGGAGCCCTCTCTCTCTCCTCAGATTTAGGAGCTCCTGGAGGCCTCCTTATTTTAGAAGTTGGATAGGGAGCATGATTGGAGGTGGGTTATTTCAATTTCTCCCTAATTTTTTGTTAAAGATGTGGTTTATGGAGCATATTGTGGATGCTCTCAATCATGGTTGGCTTCAAAGCTTGCAATGAAAATTAGGCTAGTTGTTATCTTTAATTGTTTGGTGTGTCTCCTTTTTTTTCCTCATAAATATGTACATTTTATATGGCAATTTCATACTTATAACATAACATAATTGAAATCAATTTGCCCCCAGCAGACATGAATTGTCTGCCATTTACAAGCCCAAACTCGACAAGCTTTTATATCTTCAATTGATATAAGTCAATGAGCCCTTCATGGGTTGTGTCATCTTGTTTCATCCTTTGTTTGTTCATGCACAAGCTCTTTTTCAGAGACCGCTTGCAGAAAAATGTGATCTTTTTGCTCTTGTTTTTGTGCTTGTTATTGAATTAGTTGGGACCCCAACAACTCAAGTACATGACTATCTTTATGCCTAAACTGACAGAACAAAACCGGTAATGAATGGTTTGGTTTGGTTTGGTTTCATTTTGATTTTAGGTAAATCTTATTGGTTCAATTGTGGTTTGAGGGTAAACTGAACAATCCGAACTGTGCCACACCTAATGCTAATAAATAGAATCTAACAACTTATTATTTTCTCCTTCTTCAATTGGCCAAGATAAACTCTCATTCTTCCTTCTTCTTATCACAGAGAAACCCCAACTAGAGAAACTCAACCCATGGCCTTGACAAAATCAAATTGCACATCTTTCTTCTTCTAAGCTGAAAATTAAAATTGCATTTTTTTTTCGTTAGCTTTTGTAGATCTTAAACTTCTAACTTCTGAGAACCAAAAAAAAATCTTCACCCAAAGATTGGAATAAGAGGACACACAAAAATTATTCTCCCATTAGTTGCCTTGAAATAAAATAAACAAATTTCGTATCTTTTATTTTTAATATGAGAGTCTCCAAGAGAGATGTAAATTAAAAGGAAAACAAATAGAAGACAAGGGAAAAAAATAGAAACGGGCATGGATTCTTTGTATGTATGTATCTCCTCCTACATAGAAGATTCAAATTGAGTTCAATAATGGGGCTGCAAAAAATTCTAGATTGAGAAAATAAGGAAAAACCATTTGGTTGTTTATGCGACTAAAAATAAAATTGGAGCTTTTAATTTGTAAATTTAAGTTTTATGGGTTATACTTTCTGAATAAAAGAAGAGAGATAAAATTGTTGGCTTCTAGTTGTCAAAATATTTTCTTTTTTAAAACTAGCATAACTGATGTGTTATTTCTTTTAGCCCTTGGATCATACTGTATTGAAGTGACAGTCTCGTGTTAAAAACCAAGTAGATTCTAGTAGAAAAAATCCAAATAGATGAGATTTTAATAAGCGAGTGAGATTCCATTGGAATTGTGCCGTTCATATAAATTATGAGGAATCTTACCTTCCCATTTTTGTCTTCCTCATTCATGTTGTGTCACATGTATTCCACTCACACATAGGTCAGTATATTTAATTCAAAGTAATAATATTTTTCTTGTAAGTGAATATAAGTGATTGCATCTAAGAGAGAGAGAGAGAGAGAGAGAGTGAAGAGGGGAACTCAATTCAGGACCGCAGAGATCGAGTGCTTGATATGTAATTGTGATGTAAACATAGCTTTTTTATTTGTACCAAAAGCTAAAAGGTACAAAGCTAAAATCAACAACTTACCAATCTTAGCAATGGAATCATTTTTATGGCACTCTTACTTATTAGTAATGGTAATAGGAAGAAATGGAATGATTTTCATTCATGACTTCTCCTACGTTTACTTACACATAAAGAATCACTTAATACGCATGTCTCACTTAAAATTAGGAATCAGATCAACTAGGAGGGGGTAGTTGATGCGATTCTTGCTTTAAGGAATGAGTGCGGTGGAATAGAATGGAATGGTTCCAATTGAAGGTCATTTTCATGTTTGGTTTGTAAATTTTAATTAGGAAAGCTCATTTATGGTCCATCATAGGCCATTCAAGAATTCCAAAATAAAATACGTGGGAAAGCTTAGGGATCACCATTTAGCCCGCGACTCATGGGCCGAAGTGGTTAGCTCGAGGCCTGATGGGCCAAAACCTAGCATGTCTCGTTGTTTAAGCCCACTCGGCACAGTCCACCATTTCAACGTATCCTTATCAACACTTATAAGATCGAAATCAATCTTATGCCTATAATGGGAATGATCTTTTTCTGATGTTGGGAATGACCTTCATTACCCACGAAAGAAGCTGCTGGAAACATTGAAAACTCAGTGATGGTTGGAATCCTCCCAACAAAGTGATTATTTGAAAGATTCAAGAATTAAATGAAATTTAAGTTATGCAATCTTTGAAGGAATGCTCTTCCCCCCCCCCCCCCCCCCCCCCCCCCTTAAAAAGTTTTTTGTTGAGAGGTCTAAGGACAACTTTTAATAAGTTACCCAATAAGGATGGAATTTCACATGTGAGAGTATTACTGAACAAGTTAAGGATATAATGTGTTTTAGCTCTCTAATTTCCTTAAGAATCGACACATTGAAGATGTTGCACAAGAAGTCAATTGAGGTGTAGATAGTTAGAATCTTTACTAGTTCTATTTCTAGATCTTTGCTAGTAACAGTTACCACATCTTAATAGTAAACATTGGGGAACCTTATGACCTGAAATTGAGGGACGTGGTTGAGCACTGGA